CCCCCGCCTCCGAGGCCCGCCACTGCGGAGCGCACCGGGTCTCCAGCCCCACGGCCGGTGCTCGGTGATCCGAACCTCCAAACCCCCCCTTCCCCCTCCCCCCGGGACTTTACACGGTCAGCCGGGGAACCGCTGCCAGAATGATGGAAGAAAATCAACACCGCACACACGCGCTTTCCCAACACTGCTGTAAACTTAAAGGTGAACGGTGCAGACCCCCCCCCCCCCGGCTCTCCGAGGACACACACTAAGGGAGCCCGAGGCTGCTGTGCACGGCTCCCCTCAGTGACCTCATTACCTTGTCACCCAGCCCCGCGCCCCCCCGACCCCCAGCCCCTTCGCTAACTTCGCATTTATTCCATCACACATTACTGTGACACTGTAATGTGTATATCACACATCTGTCTCATCCTGCACAGCGCATCTGCAATGCAAAGCATTGTGACCATAGCGGGGTTTTTTTTTTTAAAGGTGTGTTGCTTAAGCAAAAGGTTCATATGACAGTGTAAATGCAACTCCTTTAAAAAGAAAGGCATTGTGCAAGTGCTCGTGTTTCTAAAGTGCAGGCTTTAGAATCAATGGGCCAAACAGAAGGAGGCCCGTACATTGGCATCACTCTTGAAAATAATGGCAGTTGTTTCATAAACAGGAATTCAAAAGGATTATTTTCCAGAAGGAAAAAGATTGAAAACAAAACGAGAAACCCAAGAAGTGTAAGTTAATGGAAAAGGAATATATGTAAAATTGAAACGAATGCTCACAGTGTAAAACAATTTGTGGGGTTAAAAAATGCAATGAATAAAACAAATGAAAATAAAAGGCCTGGAGTGAAGTATTTTTTTACTTTTTCATCACTGGTTCAGAATACCTGAGTCGGCCAAGAGGAGGTATTCTGGAGGTATCCTGGCTTGTGGTTTTTAGAGGGTTCAGATAGGGGTCAGCTGGTTCCATTGGTTGGCCGATGAGCATCTTGGTGAGAGTGTACCGGAAGCTGCAAGCAAAGAATGAGAAAGACCAGCCAGTCACCTCTAAAAAGTCCCTCCTCAACACCATTGAGAGCCAAACCTCTAACAAGAATCAGCCAGGGATATTTTCATCTAAACCCAAGGTGAAGGGGTAAGTTGAGTTGAATTTTATTTTGAACTTTTCATTGTGAGGAGAGCCTTGATTATCTTGCTCAGTGGTCTGGAAATTCTACTCAAGTGTATACCAAGGAAATGCATCAAGTGATGTGAAAATGAATGGGTTCATAGCTAGACAGAACTAGTCTTTACCGTAAATAGTAGTAATGCTTTGTTTTTCACCTTCAATAACTTCTGTATAATAGATTATCCACACATTATCTATATAGTTAAATTTACAAATAGCACCCATTCCTTCACCGCAGTTAATTTAACATACATTTTACTTGCTAAATAATTTATATATGTATTTTACATGTCCAAGAATATTAGTTCTATACTATTAATTGGTGGTATGACTGATACACTGACGTCTTACTGTGTGAAAGTTAATCTGAAAACATTTCACAGCAATTCTTGGTCTATGATCAAACTACTGTGCACTGTTAATTCAGCAACTGTTAATTCAGGATGATGTGGTTCGGGCTGAGTAATCAGCTATGAGGATTCTGAGAGCATGAGTGGGAGAAGTGTGATTCAATTCCAAATACATGAACAGTGACTTTTCTGAAAACAAAAAGAATAATGACTGTTGTCTTTCAGGGTTGCTGAAATAATAAACCTAGGCATTTACAACTACAAATAATCTAAAACTTGGAGATCCATTTTCCAGGGTGTTTCACTTTTGCCAACCCACGAAAATCTCTTTCCTTAAAGTACGTTAATCCAAATTGTGTGAATTACTTGAAACTTGCAGATCATGTTGAAAGCTATTGGACTTTGCCAGAAAACCATGCAGACATCCAGGTAACCAAGAAAGGTTTATTGCCAGGGAAAGGGGGCCAGCAAGACTCCTCACAAGGGAGAAGTGAGAAGAAGCATTATCTATTGTCTGAGGTGACCTATATAACCTAGGGGGTTTAGGAGAGGCTAGAAGGGGCTAAGAGGCGGAGACCTTGTGTGGACCTGTGGGCCAGGGGCTTCATCATGGCGGACTGATTTATGGCTGCTGTCCAAATAGTAGATAAGGGGCCTTGCAGGTGCCCAGACCTAAGGTCACTCTAAGGGGCTCTGTTTGCCTTCTATAGTGGTAGCTGCCCCATAGAAGTGCCATCCCAAGCTAGAGGGGGTTGGAAGTTGATTGTTTACTGCCTTTACTATGTGGGCCTAGTGTTGCCTAGGAAGGGATCATGCTAAGCTGTGGAGAAGGGAAGAAGTGGACTAAGCTATGGAAGGGAGCTCATTTTGCTAACACATGTGGTCAAGTTAAGTACTTGATACACAGAAGAAAAGGGCAAAGAAAAATCAGCATGAACATTTGGTATCACCTTAAGGCCATAACAGAAGTCATCAGGAATATTAACTGTGAACCAGAGGACAGGAATATAGACTGGGAGAAGAAAAAGGAATTTTAGATGGCCATGGTTTATATTTTCTGCATGAATCTACATTTAAACTGGTCATAACTTTTCTTTAGCAAGCATTCAGAACAAGAAATCAGCAACAGCAAATACCAATTATGCTGCACTTCTCTGTTTCCTCTTAAACTGCTTTCCACTCAGAATTTCCTTTGTTTCACGTAAAATCTCAGCTTAGGTTTTTTTTTAAGGACTCAACTGAGTTATGACTATAAAGAAGACATGATCAATTTCTCTAAATTTCTTCTCTTTTTCTGTTTTTTTTCTCTCTCAAAAGAAAATCTGCAGTCAAGTCCCTTATATCACATAATGGCAAGTTTTCAACTCTGGTTTTGAGAGTGGAGATTTAGGAAAGTGGGCTTAAAAACCCAAATGATCCAAGCCTTAGGAAAAAGAAAATTACAAATTCATGCAAATTGCTCTTTCTCATATTTGCATGCAAACAAAATGGATTTTAATCTTTCAGAGGGCCTCATAGTCACAGAAAGTTGCTATGATTAGCAGAACTATCTGCAAGGAAGAATTCCTGGTCACAACACATCAGACACTTCTGAATTAAAACTCTACAATGAAATATCAGATATTTGCCACAATGCAAGCAACATGTTGCAATGAAACTAAAATTGAATACTAGAGAGGAATTTTGTCTTTTCAGGCATTTCAGTTGAAGGGAAATATATGCAGCTGTTGTTGATGTAGAAACTTTTTTGTGGGGGGTGGGGTGGGAAAATTTGCTACCAGCCCAGGCTGGCTTCTTCTGTTTTTTTTTTTTTTTTTTTTAGTTGTGGGGCTTGGGTGCTGGGCACTGTTCCTGAGCTCTTTAGCTCAAGGCTAGCCCTCTACCACCTGAGCCACAGCGCCATCAGAAGGTGGTTAATTGGAAATAAGAGTGTCATGGACTTTCCTGAGCAGGCTGACTTTGAACCATGATCCTCAGATCTCAGCCTCCTGAGTAGTTGGGATTACAGGGGTAAGCCACCAGCACCTGGCTATATAGTTCATTTTCAACATAGTATCTAGTGAGTATCACTTGCTACATTTATTCACCCTTTATCCTGCCATTTCTGTGTCTCCCCTTGTCCTCCCACAGACAAGAACAAACAAGGCAAAAGGAAAGGAAAACAAAAACAGCAACAAAAAAGATAAAAATCCTCTTTGTTTTCATTTCTTGGAGTTCATTTTAATAAATACTAGTATATGGTCAAATACACACAGCTATTGCTCCTATGTGATCCTCTTCTAGGGGGACTCTTGATATTAGTGTTTTGGAATTATGTCCATAAAGTTCAATTGTTGGTGCAAGTGTCAGAATATTTTCTTGGTGATAGTACCCTAAAACTTATCTCCAGAATGGAGTGTGTTAAATACTGCATAGTGTTTCTTTCCCCTGGTCCTGGGGCTTGAACTATGGGCATGAGGGCTGTCCCTGAGCTTCTTTGGCTCAAGGCAAGTGCTCTACCACTTACTATTTTTATGCTACTCTTATATTCCACCGCTTTTTTTTTTTTTTTTGGGTCTGGTCGTGGGGCCTGAACTCTGGGCCTGGGCACTGTCCCTCAGCTCTTCAGCTCAAGGCTAGTGCTCTACCACTTGAACCACAGCGCCACTTCCGGCTTTTTTCTTTTTGCTTATGTGGTGCTGAGGAATCGAACCCAGGGCCTCATGCATGCAAGGCAAGCGCTCTACCACTGAGCCACCTTCCCATCCTTCCACCACTTAACTAGGGGAAAAACATCTATATTTCTTAGAACAGAGTCCAGTCATTCACCTATCTCATTTGCAGTATTGGGGTGGAGGGAATATCTGTTAAGGATCCCATATTATATTTATTGAAATATATATTATGTAGTAATTCTCTCTTGTGAGAGCATGGACTGAACCTATGACCTGTACATCTGGGCAATTTCCACAGCTTGACTATTGACTAGTGCTTCAATGAACACAAGTGTGCAAGTGCCTCTATTATGTCCTGACATGTTCCTTTGGTTGTATGCCCAAGAAAGGTATTGCTGGGTCATAAGGTAGTTCTCGGTGTGGTTTCTTTGAGGACCTCCCATGCTTCATGGTGGTTGCACAATTTACATTCCTACCAGCAGTGTGTAAGGGGTCCTTTTTCCTGGCTTCTTTATCAGCATTATTTGTTGTGCAGGTTCTTGATGATGGATACTCTGACTAGAGATAAAAATCTGTTTCATTTTGATTTGCATTTCTCAGGTACTTATTGGACAATTGTCCAATATTTGCCATTTATGAAGTGGATAGTTGACTCTGGAATTTTATTTTTTTTGACCCCCTTGTATGTTCTAGATATTAACCTTTGTCATATGTACAACCTGATAAGATTTCTCCCATCTTGTGAGCTGGTTTTTCAGTTGAGTGAGCATTTCCTTTGCTTTGCAGAACTTTGTAGTTTGGTGTAATCCCATTTTCTAATCCATGCTGTTCTATGAGAATTATATTGGGAAATTTTTGTTTATGCCAGTATGTTTCAGTGTTTCACCTATTCTTTCCTGTAGTAGTTTCAGATTTTCAGATCTTATGTCAAGATTCTTGATCCACTTTGAACTGAATTTAGTACAACACAAGAGAAAGATGTCTATTTTTCAGTCTTTTATTTGTAGATAGCCAGTTCTCCAAACATTTGATCATTGTTCTCCAATGAATCTTTTAGTATCTTTTGTCCAAACTGAGATAACAGTATCTATATGGATTTGTTTCTGAATCTTCTATTCCATTGGTCTTCATGTTTGTTTTTATGCCAGTACCCTGCCATTTTTGTTGCTGTGGTTCTGTAGTATATAAGTGGCTATGAAATTGCTTTTTATTATTTTTATTGTTTTACTATTTTAATGAAATAATTGTATAAAATTAAATAGGTAAAAGTGGAAACCTTTTAGCAAACTGGTAAACAGTAATAGTAGTTTTTCTTTTCTTTTCTTTCTTTCTTTTTTTGTGCCAGTCCTGAGTCTTGAACTCAGGTCCTGGGCACTATTCCTGAGTTTTTTTTTTTTTAACTCAAGAACTGCTCTACCACTTGAGCCACAGTTCCACTTCTGAATTTTGGTGGTCACTTGGAGAGAAGAGTCTCACAACTTTCCTGTCCAGGCTGGCTTCAAACCACAATTCTCAGATCTCAGCCTCTTGAGCAGCTAGGATTATAGGTGTGAATCACCAGGGCCAGGCTGAAAGATTGTTTTGAAAAATAATAATGGGTTAAGATAAGCTTGAAAGGGGATAAACAAATGACTTTTACAACCATCATGATATCCCTGAAACACATTTCCAATCTTGGAGATTACAGAACATTCTTTTATCTATGAACTGTGCGTGCATGCGCACATGTACTTCCATGGACAAGCTTGTGAATGTGGAAACAACACCATTACACAGGGTATTCGTTACCGGTCTGCCTAGGGTTCTCAAGGAAAACATGGGTTTTTGATAGAAGAATATGGGACTCATTCCACATAAATCTTAGCACAAATGAACTCATAGTGGTGGTGATTCTAAATTACTCCATGCTGTATGTATGTATTGATTTCTAAAATTTTACTAGCAAACAACCAAAGTCGGTGAACACAAATCAGGGAAAGTTTGAACAAGGACAAAATTGCAAACAAAGAAATAGAATATGGCTGTATTTGCGTGCTAGCAAATGAGGATGCAATTTCCACTCCAGCGTCAACTGTGAGCTGTCCCAGCCTCCTGCAGGGACACAGGTATGTAACCTGAGCAGACACGGGAAGTTCATTTGAGCATGTTTTTCCATAAGTATAGGATTTAATTCACCCACTAAAACACTGTGGTTATTTTGCTGCCTAATATTGATCAGGGAATTAAGAAAAACAAGATCCTCAGCACACATCTGTAAGTCAAAGACACAGAGTTTAAGGCCAGTGATTTAGAAGAATCAAGAGGAGTGATCTAGTCATAATGGGCCTGCCTTATGTTTTCTTTTCAGATATGAATTTACTAGCATGCATTACTTCCTTCTTAGTAATAGCGGGATTTGTTATTGGAAACTTAGCCAATGCCTTCATAGTTCTGGTGAACAGTATGGACTGTGTGAAGAGAAAAAAGATCTCCGCTGTGGATGGAATTCTCACTGGCTTGGCTATCTCCAGGATTGGCTTGCTTTGGGTAATAATAATGGAGTATTGTTTCACTGTGTTAAATACAGGAACATTTAGGAAACAAGGAGCAATTATTTACCATGTTTCCTGGGTGGTAAATAACCATCTTAGTGTTTGGCTTGCAACAATACTAAGCATATTTTATTTGCTTAAGATAGCTAATTTCTCCAGTCTTCTATTTCTTCATCTGAAGAGGAGAGTTAAAAGCATGATGGTTATGATATTGTTGGGGATGTTGATGTTTTTATCAGTTAGTTTTACAATGGAATATGTAGAAAATGTGTTGGATAGCTATGAAGGAAATGTGACATGGAAGAGCCAGCTGAAGGACACGATATACCTTTCGAATATGACTGTATTCACTCTTGGAAGCAGCATACCCTTCGTTATATCACTGATCTGTGTCTTGCTGTTAATCTATTCCCTGTGCAAACATTTCAGGAAGATGAGGCTCTATAGCAAAGGAGCCCAAGATCCCGGCACTAAAGTCCATGTGAAGGCTTTGCAAACCACCACCTCCTTCCTCTTGCTATTTGCTCTGTATACCTTCTCTGTAATCATATCAGGCTGGTATTATAATAAACCACTAAATGAATCAGTCAATTTGCTTTATCAGGCTGCTGGTAGCATCTACCTTTCAAGCCATTCATGCATCCTGATTTGGGCAAACAAGAAGCTGAAGCAGGCCTTTCTGTCTGTTGTGTCCCAGGTGAGGTGCTGGCTGAAAGAATGGAAATTTTCAAGTCCATAGGTGAATAATGGAGACAAATATGAATTTTGGGAAAAATTAAATGGAGTCTATAACATTTTTTGTTTTCTACAACTGTTTCCAGACCATACGTATTTAAGATAAGAAATTTCTAAGAACACACATAGAAGATCTTCTACCTATGTGTGTTAAATAAAAGTGAAGATGTGTGCACATGTATGAAAAAATATAAGATTATCGATAACAATCATTTTTAATCTCAAAAATAATTCTACAAGATCTGGTAGGACATTTTCAGAATTGTGGGTCACTCTTCTACTCTGTTTTCCTTTACTTGAAGCATTTACAATCAATATTTATGTGCTGCTAAAATGATTGTAGGAAGTCCCAAGTACTTTCCCCTGTACTTCATATCACATATTTCTGTGAACATACGTTTGGATTTCACTGTTTGAACTGTTCTTGCATGGCAAGAGCATTCAAATATAAGCCTTTTATCAAAGATATATGTTTGAAATAGACTTTATTAAAAAGTATTTCCTTCTAAATACAGAGTAAACAGAATTATACAATATGCAAAGAATAAAGTTCAAGAGTAACATGAATATTTATGGTGAGTTTAATGTGTTATATAAGTAGTACGGAGAAGTATTAGATTTAACCACAAGTGGAGAGATGTCTGTAAACAGGATGAAGGACGGAGGGCCATGGCTGCAGCCTGGCTCTAGGGTAGAGGTGTTTCCGTGCATACACAGGAAACTGTACAGTTCGGTGCATATCTTAACTTAGGGTTGGTAAGACCAGACCCAGTGTCTGGGATTAAAATGGTCACATTTCTCTGCAAAGACAAACCTGTACAGAAATGGGGGGGGGATGCAGACATGGAGACAAGCATAATGGCGGTGATGAAGCATCTGTCGACACCACATTCAGCTGAGAGGCAGCAAGCTGATCAGCACATTGACTTGTGACTCCCAAGAACTTCCCAGAAGTTCCAAGAAGAAACCAAGACTCAGCCTGGGTCCTTGGAAGAGATATGGCGTCATGATTTGAGAGTTTATTTCTCCTTGATCTTCTATTTTCCACTGGCCAAGGTTTACTGGGAGCAGCACCGGCATGTCTGCTTTTCTGCCTTGCGTCATCCGATTCACTCGTGGTCTTTCACGAGGTGCCCTTGCTCACAGTGTGAGTGCCGTGCCGTGGAGGGCAGTGCATAGGTTGCATGGACTGCTGATAGAACAGGAATGAGTGTGGGTATCCGAGACACACAGGAACTCAGGTGCAAGGTAAGCCGTCCCGAATCCTTCTCCTGGGAAATGGATATTCTGCATTGTGGATGAACCACGAGGCTCAGAGACGCTCCCCAGGGGAAGTGCCACGTTTATTTGGACCCAAGCAAGCCCTGTCTCTACCAGAAGCCTATGAGTTCCAGTGATAGCATCCACTCTACATAGCTTCACCTCTGCTTCCTTTCCTGCTCGGTTTCTTGGGCGGAGCAAAGCCGTGATGGCCATATACTTGTGCTTCTAAGTAGTTTTTGTGAAAAAAAATTGGATTTATGTCTTCTTCATATATCTTTCCCCCAATGTTGGGCATTCACGAGGTATCTTCATGGTATTTGGGCTCTGCTTTCTTTACCCAGCCTTGTTTCATGGGACTGAGATTGTGGTTTACCCTTGTCCCTGGAATATTCCATGTCTCTCTGCAATACCTGAGGTGGTTTTGTTTTGAGACCAGGCTTCCCAGGCTGGCCTGCCTGTGCAGTCCAAGTGCAGGGGTTACCAGTGAGCGTCACCATGCCCAGCTGTCCAGGTGGGCCCTGCTCATGCCCTGTGCTGCCCAGGCAGCATCCTTCCTCTGTCCTGGCACCTGTAGAGTTGGTCACAAGGCAGAGTTTGGAGAGAGCTGAAAGGAGGCGGATGAAATCTGAAGGTTTGCTTTCCACCGAGAAGTCAGGCAGGGGAGAAGCAGTGATTGAGAAGGCTGAGCCCCAGTGATGGTCCCGTAGCACAAGAAGATGCAAAAATCCTCACACACATGAAATTGTCATAAACGTACAGAATGAATTAATACTGCATTCATTATACTTGAAAGCAATTTTACATGATATCTTTATTAACTACCACAGTGGTAAACATGAACCTAATGCATAATGAACAAATGGAAAGCCTGAATGACTGAAATGGAAAATGAATAGAATTTGGATAGATATACATGTATATTTATATTTATATAATGGTATGTAGATATGAATACTCATGACCTTCTCAAAAGCGAAGGAAGTAAAAACCAAAAATAAGTATTCTTAGTGCCACGTTTTTTTTTTTTTTTTGGTCAGTCTTGGGTCTTAAACTCTGGGCTTGGGCGCTGTCCCTGTGCTCTTCAGCTCAATGCAAGTGCTCTACTGCTTGAACCACAGCACCACTTCCAGTTTTCTAGTGGTTTATTGGAGATAAGAGTCTCATGGACTTTCCTGCCAGGGATGGCTTTGAACTGTGATCTCCAGATCTCAGCCTGCTGAGTAGCTAGGATGATAGGTGTGAGCCACTGGTGTCTGGCTACATATTTGAGGGTTTAAGATCTGTGTGATTTTATTTGAAACTTTGGTGTAGAAGTCACTTTGGAATATATGTGCATAGTTTCCTGCAGAGACCTAATTTAGAAGGGCTTAAAAATTCAGTGCTTATGAAGTTCCATACATCAGTTGAGATTCTGTTGCCTATTAAGAGTTACCATTTTGTGGTTTCTGACCCAGAAATCAACTAGTCTAACTATAATATGTAAAACAGTAAGACAATACTAATGAATATATCTTTATATTTCATGTTGGCGCATGAGAGCTCAGCGTTTCCTTCTTGTCAGCTACAAAGACTCCAGGCTGTTGTGTGTGAGGTACATATCTCAGTGATGCTTGTTTGGGTTTTCTGAGAAACTGAGGGATTTTCATGAAGAAAGCTATGAATCAACTGATTGTGTGTGTGTGTGTGTGTGTCTTGGGGCTTGATCTCAGGGCCTGGGCGCTGTCCCTGAGCTATTTTGCTCAAAGCTAGTGTTCTACCATGGCTCTGCTTTCAGCTTTTTGGTGGTTAATTAGAGATAAAAGTCTCACAGACTTTGCTGCCCAGGCTGGTTTGGAACCATGATCCTCAGATCCTCCTAAGTAGCTAGGATTAAAGGCGTGAGCCACCAGGGCCTGGCTTGGAATGGACCAGTGATTAAATCTTGTTTTCTTGACTGATACTGCAGGTGGGAGTTTCTAACCGTGAGTTACGCCATGAATTTTCAGGAATCAGATCCGCACTGCACTTCAGAAGACGCCAGGAGAGAGTCCTCAGTGGAGTAGAGGCTGTAGAGGCCCCCTCCCAGTGGCGATGGGTGGTGTCCTGCAGGTCATGCTCATGCTCGCTTTAAGTGTGGAGCTCATTGTAGGATTTTTAGGCAATACATTCATGGCACTGGTGGCTTGCATGGACTGGAGGAAGAGCAGGAAGATCTCTCCGGTGGATCGAATCCTGCTGGCTTTGGCAGTCTCCAGACTTGCTATGCTGTTGTCTTTCCTCCTGAGCCTCCTGGTGTACCCAGCTTTGATGGCCACTAGAAAAACTCTAAGAGCGATGAGCACCACTTGGACCATTACCAACCATTTTAGCATCTGGCTCGCCACCATCCTCAGCATCTATTATTTTCTCAAGATAGCCAACTTTTCCAACTCCATTTTCCTTTATCTAAAATGGAGAGTTAGAAAGGTAGTGTTGGGGGCATTGCTGGTGTCTCTGGCCCTCTTGCTTTTGAACATTGTAGTTCTAAATGCACATGATGGTGTCTGGACCAATGAGTATCTGAGCAACGTGTCCTACAGCTTTAGTTCAAGTAAGTCTGTTCAGTTTCCCACACTGGTGTTTTGCATCATCACAGTGTTCACATTTGTACCCTTTACCGTGTCCCTGGCAGTGTTTCTCCTGCTCATCTTCTCTCTGTGGAAACACCACAAGAAGATGTGGCACCATGTCCCAGGATCCAAGGATGCCAGCACTGTGGCCCATGTCCGAGCCCTGCAAACGACAGTCGCCTTCCTCCTCCTGTACGCCATTTTCTTCTTTTCTCTTCTTTTGCAGTTCTGGAACTCCAAGTTTCTGCAGGAAGATAGGATCATTTTGCCTCTGGAAGTCATTGGAACCACCTTTCCCTCAGGACACACAGTTGTTCTCATTCTGGCAACCAGAAGGCTACGAGAGGCCTCTCTCTCCATGCTCCGGTGGCTGAGGGGCATGGACCGAGGCCTGGAGCCCTCAGACTCCTAGGCAATTCCAGGGATCTTGTTCTTCTAGAGGAAAGTCAGTTCATAAGAAAAAAAAAAGATTGTGTTTGGGCCAGACCTGGGCTTGAACTCAGGGCCTGGGCGCTGTCCCTGAGCTTTTTTTTAGCTCAAGACTAGCACTCTACTACTTGAACCACAGCTCTACTTCTGGCTTTTTTTATGGTTAATGGGAAAGAAGAGCTTCTTGAACTTTCCTACCGGGGCTGGCTTCAAATTGATTCTCAGACCTCAGCCTCCTCAGTAGCTAGGATTGCAGGTGTGAACAAATGATGCCGGCCACGAGAAACTAAAAAAATAGAAATTTATGGTTTTCAGTTGTTCTTCCATTGCATGCCACTGTGAATTTTATAAAAGTCTGTTTGGATTAAGCACTATACATACTATAAGTTTGGTAAAAAAATGCAAGTATGACTATAAACTCAAGTTATGACGAATATTTAAATATAAGAATTCACAATATTAACATAATTTTGTGTCTACCATTAAACTTTTAAAGATTTTAATATATAAGACATACATGTACATATAATGCATATGAGATATTACAAATTGAAACTGTATAATTGTATGTACCTAATATGATGGAGATCCAGATACAATTGTCCATAAAAGCGTTTTATAACCTAGCTTGTGTCCTATAGTTTCAGACAAGGAATGAAGAATAACATATAGACTTGGAAATCAGATGCAGCAAACCCATTGTTCTGAATAGAAGAGCAATTTAGAATACTTTTGCCAGACGTGATGGTGGGTATAATTGCAGCTACTTAAGAGATGTAAGTAGGAGGATCACAGTTCAGGCCATCCCAGACTCCCTGGCCCCCCAAAATAGAGATTCTATCTGCAAAATTCATTCTTTAATACAGAACGTTAACGTGGCTTAAGTGGTCAACTTCCCACCTAGCAAGCATGAAACTCTGAGTCATCAGAAAAAAAAGGAAAGAGAACATTCTCAGAGACAGGTGGCACTTGAGATAGTAATTGTTTGAGAGCAAGGAATTCCTGGAGCCTGTCCATCTTAATTCGGAATATTTGATTTACTCTTGGAAAGGATTTGAATTTTCTAGGTAGTGTTCAAGTAGGAAGAGCTCTGGTTAGCACACTTAACTTTGAATTCTAGATAAATCATCAATAGTTAGGAAGTTTCATGTACTAGTTCTTATTCCTGTTACTGGCTCTAATAATGTCTGTTACAATTCCACTTTTCCCCCTGGAATTCATGTTGCTAGACTAAATCTTTAGACAAAACAAAACAAAACAGAAAACCCCCCAAAACAAAACCTACACAATGCAAACAAATGTCATTGTTTGCATGTTAGCAAACCAAAGGTTTCAGGTTGCTCTGTGTAAGACAGATGGCATTGTGATCGAGCTCAGCTGGGCCACGTGGGAAAATGCAGGATTTCCATGATGGTAATGATGAACCTTGTCATTAGAAAGTCTTCATGCTTCCTGGCTTGGCATTGTACAGGAGATGTTAATGTGAGATTTTTGTTTGTCAATGAGCAAATATAAATAGCAGAAAAATGAATGCAGTAATAAGTCTTCAGTGGTGATAAGCTGAGGCTTTCTTTTCCAGACAATGGATGACGTCTTGGTGAGCACCTTCTTTTTGTTGTGAGACATGATAGGAAGCTCAGGAAAAGTGCTCGTAGCCCTGGTGAGGTGCAGGGACTGGGCCAGGAGAAGAAAGCGAGCTTCTGTAGACCAGATCCTCACTGCACGGGCCATCTCCAGGCTGGGTCTTCTCTGGGTAGCCATTTTAAGTGTGGTAACGCTTTTCCTGTGCCCAGCTTTGAAAAGTTCTTGGCGTACATTAAGAACCACTAATGTCATCTGGGTAGTGGCCAATCACTTCAGACTCTTCTCTTACCTCAAGATGGCCAATTTTTCCTCCATCTAAAGTGGAAGGTTGAAAGAGTGGTTTCAATGGCACAGCTGGTGTCTCCGATCTTCTTGGTTTTAAATATTGTATTTGCTGACAAAGGCGTCGATATCTGCATCACTGGGTCTATGACTTACAATTCCAGTCTAGAGAACTCCACACAGATTCCCACTGTCGTCTCGCTCAGTAACTCTGGGTTCCTGCTCCTTCCTTTTACCGTGTCCCTGACAACGTTTCTCCTGCTGGCCTTCTCTCTATGCAAACACCTCAGGAGGATGCAGCACAGCACCCTTGGATCCAGAGACACCAGCACTGTAGCCCACATCCGAGCCCTGCAGACAGTCATGTCCTCTCTGCTCCTGAACACTGTGTTCCTACTCTCCCTTGTTACAGTGTTTCAGAGCTTTATGTTTCTGGGGAGCGATGTGGTCGTTTGGATTGATCAGGGTTCTGCAGCGGCTTTCCATTCCTGGCACTCGCTCGTCTTGATTCCTGAAAACAAGAAGCTGAGACGGACCTCTCTGTCGGTGCTGTGGAGGCTGAGGTCCAGGGCCAAAGGCCTGGAACTCTTAGGACCTTTCTGAATTTCAGGGATCAGTGTGCATATGATGGAGAAAATCAATTTGTAGTGAACTGTTTCTGTGGTCTGTGTCTGTATGAATTTTACAAATTGTGTGCTTAGATTAAGAGTAGCCAAACACACCTCAACCCTTGAGACGTATCTATGCTACAAGATACACAGAGGAATATCAGTGCAGAATTCTTACAGGGAACAGTTCCCTATGGTCACAGACACTGAGTTTTGTGTGCATCTTCAACCTGAGAAACTAACAATATGCAAGATCTGTGTATATGCCTGCCTATGAGACATAAAAACCAGATTCATATAGTTCTATGCAAATAAAAGTAAACTTTATATATACAACATTCCAAAACCTTTAGATTAGAAGCAGAGAGTAAAACAAGACTGTTGGAAATCTAACATTCTAAATGTATGACTTCAAATAAGTCTCAATTTAGTAATATTGTAAAAATTCCCAAGAATGATTAGCCTTGCTTTCTTTCAAATAAAAAATTTGCTATCATAGAAGCCTCAAATTCAATAATTCTCAGAAGGCATATATCATTATTGATATATCATTATTAGATGTAATAGATATAGTAGATATTACATTGGGAAGTAGATCCGATTTCTCATTTTTTTTGTGTTGTACCACAACGTGTTTTAGCTTATTTTGGGCATAGATAGATTGAACACAGGATTTTATGCGTGTTAGGCCATCGCTACACCACTTGAGCTGTGCTTCTGGCCCTTTCTGATCCAGGTGTTTTTGACATCAGATCTTGCTTTTTTTCCTGGCCCAGCCTGGATTTGATCCTTGTCTTTACACTTTCTGCTGTGAGCTCTGCTTCTTAGTGCCTGTGGACAGTATGTCCTGCTGATGATCGCATAGTCTTGTCACTGAGAGTGTAGTGAAGTGTTCCTCAGAAAGAAGTAAGGCTGGTTGTTCAGTGTGTCTTGAAAAACATCTTTTTCCTTAGATGTCAAAAGTGTGTTCAAAGTAATACTACTAAAACGTATGGGTGAGAAGAGAATTATAATCATATATTTGCTTTAATTTCTGCAAGATCAGATGGATGATTCAGAGTTCGGTTTTGCTTCTTTTTGAAGTAACGGTATAGGTGCCTATAGAATTATGCAAATAGGTCAACCACTATAGATAATGATGGTTTTGTTGTTGTTTTGAGACAGTGTCTCATGCATGATGTGGCCTCCAACTCTGTCTTCCTGCCCGAGCCTTCTGAACGGTGGAAATTGTGGTTGATTTGACACAGTGATTATATAACAGCTTCCAGGACTAAAACATAGCTATTAGTTGTACTAAAACTTCTTCTGAATCAATAACACGCCATCAATTCTGAAATAGATGAAGATAGTTCCCCATGCTTACTAGCTGATTGGTTACTTCACTGTTGAACTATGGTTCAACTATGGGGGAAGAGATCTTGGAGCCATTCTCATCTTCTCCCCATGATGGCCGGCCCTGCAGCCCACGCCCACCTTCCTCCTCCTGCTGCTGCACGGCTTCTGTTCTGTCCCTTGCAAGGAAGCTTGGCAGCTTCCAGTTTTCCCTCTGTGTGGCCAAAGTTATTTTTCCTTCAGTCCACTAGTGTGTCCTAATTCTGGAAACAAAGTTGAGACAGATGGACCATCATTCCTGTCCCTCAGGCGTGTGGCTCTGTGTCCGCCTCGTCCTCTTGTCTGGTGTATAAAAAAGAACACATCATGCACATAATTCTTTACCACGATTACTTTATTTCTTCACTGCAATTTATAATTCCTTTATTTATTTTTGCTACTTTAATGGAATGGCTTGCTCATGTAAAATATTTAGTGTTGTGGATAAAGCTACCATCTCCTTTTGTCAGTGATAGTTTCCCAGTGTCCATCAGTAACCTGCAGCCTCAAGAGACTGTGAGATTGATTCTCTCTACCTACCCCAGGCTGGACTTGAACTCAAGATCCCTTCCCTCAGCCCATTGTGGGTGGGGATGATGGACACCCAACACCACAGCCTGTTTTGAAATACTTTCTAAAGGTAGCTGATGAGAAATTGTCTCCCCATCCTTCCTGATAGAACCTGTTAGAGATGTGTTATTATTAATGAAGGATGTCGCCCATTTCCCTCTCTTCTTACCAAATCCATTAGTGATAAGCACGTCGCTAGGGTTACACAAAAGCCACCATATACCATGTATTCTAGAGTATGCATGACACCTTGTGTGAACTGTCATGAAAGCATTCTCATTTGTGCATTGTATAACTGTATATCTCTTAAAATGAATACTTATTTTGTGCTTGATTCAAAATAAACTGAATTTTTATTACGAAGATGTGCACGTAATAAAGTCCAGCGTGGCAAACGTGTTTTTGGTAGCATTGGCATATGTGTGCCATCCACAGGACCGACGAATACTAGAATTATGACAAATGGGAAAAAGGTTTAGAAATGACGATTTCTAGAGTACGAATAAGGAAGAAAGAGCCCCAGTTGTGACCTGATACACATATTGTTCTAGGTTTACAGATGCAGGTAGGAAAGTCACTTACTCTATTTCACAAACTTAAAAAGGACTTTTGTTGGGGGGGTATGCGAGAATTGAGATAGTCTTTTAAACATTTTGTTTTTGTCCTCCTAAGCTCCCTCTGTATTCCTGATTTGTTGGTCCCGTCCTTCAACTTTCATTCCAAACCCCCTCTCAGATTAAGTTGTACTGTTGAGTATGGACTTCTGACACCAAAAATCAGACACATGTTAATATTCCATTAGTGAGTGAGCAAGTTATAAAATTCCTAAGACTGCAAGCCAATCACCAATCTGCAGGTTGCTTTTTTTTTTTCCTTCATGATTCTGGTTTTGCCTTGAGGTTACAGTCTTACCCAAATCCAAACATTTTTTTTTTTCAGGGCAAAAGACTATTCACAAACAAGTACATCAAGCGTGTGATGTGATGTTGAAAATGAACTGCAGGACTCGTGGATAGGGAGGGGAGGGAAAACCTGGGACACAGTGAGGGAAGGGGACACTGTGTCCAAAAAAGAAACGTACTTGTGACCTGACTGATGTAAGCGTCAACCCTCGATGCATCACCTTTATCATAACAATAAAAAGTTAAAACAAGAGTGTGTTGTGGAGATAGATGCAGCCTGTGAAGCAGACAGCACTAAATGCTAATTGCAAAACTGTGAAGCCTCAGGGTCTATGTTGAAGGGGAAGAATGATGCAGGCTCCGGACTCAGGATTATCTGAGGACTGTGAGGATAAGGAAAGCTCTTGGCATGCCAGGCTAGAGAGGGAAAATGTTCTCTCTCCCTATCTCAAAACACATGTCACAGACTCCTGGGAACTGAGGAAGTAGCTCTTCTGCTTCCTTAAACATAGATGAACAGCTGGTCAAGCAGTTTCCTGAGATTGGAGAAGTGGTTTGAGCTTGCTCTAAAACAGTTTAGATAATAATATACCAAGACATTGTCTCATAGGTTAAGTAAAAATGTATCTGTTAAATTTTTTTGTGTGAATGTCTCCTGACTAAATCTTGACAAAGATCATGCTTGCTTGTCTTTAAATACCCACTAACAATAAAACACAGCATGCAGTGGCAATTGCTGTTTACACTCTGCATCCCCTGGGTCCTGGTGATTTCGTGACCCTTACCCAGGGACCCCAACGCACTAGATGTTGACACAAAACCATATAACTCTGGGTACCATTTTTCTGCATTATATAATATGTACTATTACGGTGTTTTATAGCTTGCTGTTTGATACACAAAATGATAGATTCTTGTTGCCACCTGTGTGAATTAGAGTGAATGATGTTCCTTGCACAGAATTCAAGGAATCAAATTATGGATGTAAAAAATAGAGAGAAAAAGTATGTTAATAAACACTTCCATAGGGGCTGGGAAGGTGGCTCAGTGGTAGAACGCTTGCCTTGCATGCCTGAGGCCCTGGGTTCGATTCCTCAGCACCACATAAGCAAAAAGAAAAAAGCTGGAAGTGGTGCTATGGCTCAAGTGGTAGAGCCTTGGGCTGAAGAGCTGAGGGACAGCACCCAGGCCCAGAGTTCAGGCCCCATGACCGGACCCCCCCAAAAAACAAACACTTCCATATTTACATGCTATAATGCGAGCCTGTGTCGTCATTTCCTGGAGCTGTACAAAATACCCTGGACTACAGCGTGTTAACTGGGCAATCCCCGTATGAACTTAATGTATGCATCGGGAAGCTGCGAGAGTATGTAATGAAATGCTTGAACTGGATCCTTAGGGAACTTTGGTTCTTGCGTGTTTGATGTTGCACGGAGAAGTTCTTTTTAAGGGAGTGTGTGGTGCATGTTGAAAGATCCACACAGGCCGCCGGTGGTGAGCGCACTGACACACACAGGGCAGGGACCTTGCACAGAGAATGGACACTGCTCTGCTGAGTGCACTCATAGTTGTGCTGACGGTGGAAATTGTAGCGGGCACTTAGTGAATGGGTCGATAGCCCTGGTGAACTGCACAGACCGGGTCAGGAGAAGGGGGCTCTCCCTGGGGGACCAAGTCCTCACAGCGCTGGCCCTCAGAATCGCTCAGCTCTGGGTGGTGACCGCGCTTCCTTCTGTAGCCTTCTGAAAGGCAGGGATGATGATGGGAGGGATTTACTTCGCCTGGATGCTGACCAGCCATCTCAGCAATGTGGCTCACCACCAGCTTCAGCATCTTTTACTTTCTCAAGATAACCACCTTCTCCGGCTCTGTCTTTCTCTTCCTGAATTTAGAGTTGAGAAAGTTGTGTCTGTGACCCCGCTGCTGTTCTTGGCCCCGGTGCTTGTGAACGTGATGGTCCTGGACGCGTCCATCGCTTGTCTGCGTGGATGAGATGGAAAGAAACATCACTGACAGTTCAGGCAACTCGTCCCTCAGACTCCTCTCCTTCCCCAACCCTGTGTCCATGCTGGCGCCTTTTCTGTGTCCCCGACGACTTTTCTCCTGCCCGTCTTCTCCCTGTGGAGCCATTTGAAGGTGATGAAGTTCAGCACCCGAGAGCACAGAGACATCAGCACCGTGGCCCACGTCCAGGCCTGGTACCCTGTCATCGCCTCTCTCCTGCTGTGCTTGGCATGCTTCGTGTTGGTGTTTGTGAAGGCTGGGAGCCCCATGTTTCAGGGGAGACCCTTGGTCCCCAGGTTTTTCCGGGCTGTCCGGGCTGGGTCTCCTCTGCTCACTCCTGGGTGCCGATTCTGAGTAGCAAGGGGCTGTGCGTGTCCTCTCTGTCTCTGCTGCGCTGGCTGAGGTATGGGGCTGGGGCCCATAGATCTTTGAGGGGAGAACACTGCGTAGTCTGGAGAAAGCAAGAAGTTCCCGTACTTGTGAGCTTGTATTCCTGTTGTGTGTAGCTGTACCAATTTAACAGAGATACTGTGTGGAACCAGCAGCAGCTGTACACTGCGACCTCTGTGGTACATAGGGAGGTCTGTATTCTGACTGCCTCACACATAGGAAAATTAATGTAGATCACGTGCAATAATGAATAATACGGATTTTTGTTGTGGATTAGCATTTTGAGATGAGAGACACAAACGTATGGCGAATGAATGCATACATAATTACTAAACTAGAACCATAATTTAACATACATAAGGGCAAGTTTTATAGTTTATGATATGTACCTAAATTACCAGATAATAAATATCCACTACAGGCTGTTAGCAATCAGATACATTAAATATATAACTTTGAATATGAAATTGAAATTAAAAATTCATAGGCAGGTTGCTTGATTACTGTGATCCTAGATTATATTTATTAATTTCAAATTTAAGAATTGTTAGAACTTTCTTCTTTGAGACAGGGCTTTACCACGTAGCTCAGGCTGGCCTCAAAAGTTCTCTATTTTCCTGTCTCAGTCTCACAAGTGATGGGGTTTACTGAAACATTCTGCCATACCCAGCTCTCGAGACACTTTATCACTGTTAGAAATATGGATTCACATGCAGAAGTTGCGTTCTCTCAGGTAGTTATCATATTTCATTTTAATCTACCAATTTCAATGCACAAAAATGGCTTATGCTGTTGTTTGTATGTCTGTGCTTGTGCCAGGATTGAGACTTAAGCTCAGGGCTTCAAGCTCTCTCTTGTTTTTGTTTTTTTGTCGGTTGTGGGACTTGAATTCTGGCTGACTGTTGTCTCTCAGCTCTTCAGCTCAAGGCTGGTGCTCTACCATTTGAGCCACAGCATCACTTCTGGTTTTTGGGTGGTTCATTGGAGATAAGTGTCTCATAGACTTTCCTGCCTGGGCTGGATTTGAACCATAATCCTCAGATCTCAGCCTCCTGAGTAGCTGAGATGATGGCATGAGCCACTGGTGCCCAGCTCAAAGTTGGCACTCTACCACTTGAGCCAGAGCTTCACTTCCAGTTTTTTCTAGTTAACAGGAGATAAGAATCTCACAGGAAGCTTGCATGCACTGGCTTTGAACCTGCTGTGAGTAGCCTTCTCATCCTCCTGAGTAGCTGGGATTACAGGTGTGCGCCACCAGCGTCTGGTTATGATACTGTTTCAACTGAATTTGCCTCTGGAGAATTGGTACCTTATAGTACTTTAAAATGGGAGGATATTCAGGTTTTCACTGTGGCAGTCGGGTCGTGCTCTGCCCTGAGTGACTCCACTGAGTGAAAACAGCGGTGTGCGCCATTCTGGAAGCATGGGTGGAGGCAGACATCCCATCTGTGCGGGTGAGCCTCCCCCATCTGTCCACACGAACCAGGAGGAAGACTGATGAGGAGCTCGTTGATGCAGATAGAAGATGCCACCTTCGGACCTCAATTAAATGAAGAGCGTGTGGACACGGGTGCCCCAGGACCAACCTCACCCGCGAATCTAGATGCTTTGTATATGTTTTAATAGATGAGGCCCCAAAATTTTACTAGCTGACATGAACTTGACAAATTCAAATTACGAGAATAACACCTGCAGCACCATGAAAGGAAATATGCCTTCATTTGCTTTCCAGCGAGTGAGAACTGAGATTTCATCCCAACAGTAGCCTTGAAGACTCTCAGCTCTAGGAGTGAGAATAAAAGACCTGGACCGAAGTCAACCTGAGCACCCCCCACATGTATACACATGTGCACACACGTCACATATTTAAACACATACACATGTGACAGCACACACATACACATGTAAATACACATATCTGTACATAACTTGGACATCCACCTAAACCCTCAGTACTTGCAAGGCTCCATACACCAGTTTATGTTCTAGTTACTCACTAGGTACATGGCCGTTTTGTAATAGCCCTTGTCCCAAAGGTGACAAGCTGTCCCAATATGCTGACAAAGGGAAAAAGAAACGAAGCTATGCAAACAAATGTGTCTTTATTTGCATGTTTAGCATTTCCGTTATGGCCACTACAAGAGGCCGGACCTCTGCTGGGTGTGGTGTCTTGACCGGGCTCCATGGGCTGTTAGGAAGATGCAGGGATTTCATGAAGAAAGCAGGACCCCAGGATGGCTCTTTTCCTGACATGGTGTCAGGTGCGTGGGACTGGTAAGGGACGACCTGTCTGAGTTTTCACTCATCGAGCATTTTAAGACTGCAGTCGCGAATCCTCGGCAGTGCCCACAGACACTGTACTATCCTCTTAACCCACAATGGACAGCAGCATCCTCAGCATAATTATAGTTGTCAGTGTGGAGTTTTTCCTCGGAAACATGGTGAACGGATTCGTAGCCCTGGTGAACGGTGTGGACCTGGTCAAGAGGAGAAGGATCTCTGAAGTTGATCAACTCCTCTCCGCCCTGGCGCTCTCCCGGATTGTTCTGCTCTGGTCAGTGGTGCTCAATATGTTGTTGTCTTTTACTTACCCAGGTAGAATAAACATACACTTAATAAGAGTAAGTAATTTTTCCTGGATTGTGTCCAATCATTTTAACCTCTGGCTGTCGACCAACCTCAGCCTCTTCTTCTTTCTCAAGATAGGTTATTTCTCCAGCTCTGTTTTTCTTTACCTGAAGTGGAGAGTCCGGAAAGTGGTCTCAACAACCTTGGTCACGTCTCTGGTCCCCTTGTTTTTCAATGTGCTTGTGATAAACGCTATCTTCGACAAAAGCCTCGGCGGTTGTATGAGAAACATGTCGTACTTCCACTGTACCAAGGCCTCTACGCAGTTTTCCAAACATATTTTACTCACCAACTCTGCATTTATGCTCCTGCCCTTCATCTTCTCCCTGGCTGTGATCCTCCTGCTGATCATCTCCCTGCGGAGACACCAGAAGCAGATGCAGCAGGTGTTGTGGGGAACCCAAGGCGCCAGCGCCAAGGCCCACCTCAGGGCCCTGCAGACCGGGGTGGCCTTCTTCCTCCTCTCCGTCGCCTTCATCCTGTCTGTCATCCTACAGCTTTGGACCTTCGATTTCCTAGACATGAACATTCTCATTCTGTCTTCTCTGGCTACTGGGATTGCTTTTCCCTCAGGCCACTCCCTCATCCTGGTCCTGGGGAACAGCAAGCTACGTCAGGCCTTGGGAGCCATGCTGCGGGGGCTGCGGGGGCTGTGGTGCTGGGGCAGGGCCCCAGAGCCCGGAGACTGCACACCCCTGACTGGCCAGGCCTCCGTGCCTCTCAGGAGGCTCCACTGATGAGACATCCTTTGATTTCATAGACTTACATTTTCACACTATTCTGTTGTGTGTCTCTTGATGGATTTCATAGAAAGGGGTTTGGAATTAGCATGTCAGCAGAACTATTCATACCCATGTGTATTAGTGTACTCAGGTGTAGAAATCAGTATGGACTGCTTACTTATAAAGTCTTTATAGCAACCAATAGAAGTTTCATGTCAGTCTTTTCAAGATTTTAAAATGAGAATCTTGTATGGGAGACATAGCTGTTAAAATATAAGCTTATGATTTCATAAACAAAATGATATGTGTGCGTGCATGCTTGTGTGTGTGTGTGGGGGGGGGGGGGGGGGGTCCTGGGCGCTGTCCCCGAGCTTCTTTTGCTCAAGGCTCGTGCTCTGCCACTTGAGCCACAGCACCACTTGAGGCATTTTCTGTGTATGTGGTGCTGAGGAATTGAACCCAGGGCTTCATGGGTGGTAGGTGAGCGCTCTACCACTGAGCCATGTTCCCGGCCCCTTTTCCTCACTTTTAAATATTCTCCCTTATTCCCTAAAATCACCAAGGTATCCATTAAATATTTATTTTTAAATCAAAACATCGAACTTATGTTAGAATCCACACATGTCTGGATTTGGTGGTATCTCTGGAGGGCCGAAACTGCCCGTGAAGGGGCTGGGAAGTCCGGGAGAGGCAGAAGCACTGCACCCAGGGGTCCTGCTCATATCAGGGGTGGGGGTGAGGCACCAGTCAGACCAGTGTGCTCACCTTTCTATTAGTGAGGAAATGGTTACCACCGCATTGTGCCAGCCACACAACATCCAGGAACAGGAGCTTAACAGTGTCCTGAAACAAATCTGGAGGAAAGGCTACAGTGCAGTTCTGATGTGCAGGGCAGCTCTTACCAGTTCTGTGGTGTCAGTGCACCTCCAGCTTCTTTGGTCTTCTTCCCTCTTTTCCTCCTGATTTCTTTATGCTCTCTCTTCCTATGGGCCTAGCCTGTAATGCACTCTTATAAGATGAAGAAAAATATTCTCCATTGCTGCTTATAAGATGGAGGAAAAACATGTTTCTAGCTTGCTTATGTTCTTTCTTTCTTTCTTTCTTCCTTTCTTTCTTTTTTTTTTGAGTCCGGTCGTGGGGCCTGAACTCTAGACCTGGGCGCTGTCCCTCAGCTCTTCAGCTCAAGGCTAGCACTCTTGAGCCACAGCATCACTTCCGGCTTTTTTCTTTTTGCTTATGTAGTGCTGAGGAATCGAACCCAGGGCCTCAGGCATGCAAGGCAAGTGCTCCACCACTGAACCAACTTCCCAGCCCTAACTTGCTTATTTTCTACCTGTGATAAAAGTGTTCAGAGGTTTAAACTGCAGAGCTCTTGGTAGTGTCTTCTGGAACAGAAGCACAGAAACCAGCCCACAAGTCCTCCACAGGCTGTTAAGGAACACACCATAGTGTCACCACATGACAAACAGAATATACATGTGCAGCAAAACAAGTCAGAACAGGAAAACCTGGCACAGAATAGTAAGAACAAGAGTAACATCAGTGAGGGGACTTATATGGCTGTCTTGGACCAGGCCCAGTGGGTCATGTCTATAATCCCAACTACTTCAGAGGGAATCCATTGGGTCCTGGTCTGAGGAGGGCTGGGGCAGAGTTAGGAGGTCCCATAGCGAGCAGGGGCTGAGGTTTTCCCAGCACACAGCTATGGGCCCGGCTGTCAGGGAGGTACAGGCAGGAGATGTGTGGTCTTGGACGAGGCCAGGTAAAAAGGAAGGCAAAAACCTAACAGTCAAAAAAGGCTGTGTGTGTGGCTCGAGTCCCACTGCATTTGCCCAGCTGATACAGGATCTGAGCTATAAAACCCACACTTCAAATAAATTAAAGAATCAAATGAAAAAAACAATCACAGAGAGTTTTTAACATAAAGCCCGATACCGTGAATGGAAAATGTGATTTCCATGATCAGATACAAATAAACACTTGTGAGAGTTTATCTAACAGGATTAGTGATAGTCGCTTTTGCTGAAAATGATGGATATAATGAAATATGTTTTTAAAATGTAGTTTCTTGTCCTTTTGTTCTGGTAGAGTTCTTTTAACCTTAACTAAACACAAATTTAAAAGTATTGAAACAGCAACAACAACCAACTAGATTATAGTTGGGAACCGGTGGCTCATGCCTATCATCCTAGCTACTCAGGAGGCTGAGATTCAAGAATTGTGGTTCAAAGCCAGCCTGAGCAGGAAAGTCCATGAGACTCTTATCTCCAATGAACTACCACAAAGCTGGAAGTGGTGCTGTGGCTCAAGTGGTAGAGTGCCAGCCTTGAGCAAGAAAGCTCAGGGACAGTGCCCAGGCCCTGAGTTCAAGACCCTGGACCACCACATAAACAAAACAACAACAGAAGCAAACTAGATAATGTAGGGACACCAGGGATAGAGTTGTAAAGCAGGACAGAGCAGAGGGGCCAGTGGTTGGCAGGTGGGGATGCCATTGAGCTGAACCAGGAAGCAGAGGGCTTGAGGGAGAGCCACGCTTTGCTCAAAGCAGAATAACACAGAGGATCACAGAACAAAAAGAACCAGAACTACAGTGGAGTGATTTTTTTTGTGTGCCAATCTTGGGGCTTGAACTCAGGGCCTGGGCTCTGTCCCTGAGCCTCTTTGTGCTCAAAGTTGGCACTCTACCACATGAGCCACAGCGCCACTCCTGGCTTTTTCTGAGTAGTTTATTGGAGATAAGACTTTCCTGCCTGGGCTGGCTTTGAACTGTGATCCTCAGATCTCAGCCACCTGAGTAGCTGGGATGACAGGCGTGAGCCACTGGAGCCTGGCCTCCTGTGCTGTCTTAAACTGATTTGTGGCTATTTTGTTTTCTGAATCAACAACCCAGCCCCCTGTTTATTTCATCATTTTGTGTGTGGACTCTTTCTTATACATTTTTTGGGGGGAATTCCTTTATTTAATCTTCTAGCTCAGCACCTATTTCTTTTTTCTTTTTCTTTTTGGGTCCGGTCATGGGGCCTGAACTCTGGGCCTGGGCACTATCCCTCAGCTCTTCAGTTCAAGGCTAGCGCTCTACCACTTGAACCACATCACCACTTCTGGCTTTTTTCTTTTTGCTTATGTGGTGCCGAGGAATTGAACCCAGGGCCTCCGGCATGCAAGGCAAGCGCTCTACCACTGAGCCACCTTCCTGGCCCCTCAGCACCTATTTCTATGCATGTTTTTCTCAGCTCTGATTCTAAGCATCTATCACACGTCACTTTGTTTCCAGCAGCCCTCTGGGCACCGCTGGCTCTCCTTCCACCGTCGGTGTGTTCCTTTACGCCTTGCTCTTGTCTGCTCATCTTTTTCAGGGGTGATCTAGATGAAGGCCAGGTCAAAGCTGAGGCAGGGAGGGCACATGCCCTGAAATCCCTTCTGTCTCTCAGCCCCTTGGCCTGTCTGTCTCTCAGCCCCTTGGCCGGCCTGGTGTGGACAGCTGTCCTGTGAGACCTGCAGCCCTTCCAGTGAGGGCTAGAGGGCGCTGTTGGCTTTCTCCAGGCGGGGTGGTGCCAGGAACACCACCTTCCCAGTACGAGCAGGACCTTGCATTCCCCTGGCAGGCTAGTAGGTTTGTTCTAGGTGGGGGAGAAGCGTGGAAATTAGCAAGTTCCTGGGTTGTAAGAAAAGCGGACCAGTTCTTCCCGGCGTGCTCTGTGGGAGATGCTGCAGAGCGCTTGCGTGGCCCTGCGAGGCCCCTGGATGACAGCCTGCTTTCCGTAGTCCCTGCACTGGAGAAGATCTGGAGACGAGTGGGCCTGACCAGGTCATTCATGGGAAGCCAGAGGGAGGAGCAGAGCCTGTTCCCAGTGGACTTGCTTGCGTTCACACAGGTGGCTGTGGAGCATCAGCTCAGGGGGAAGCCAGCCTGGCCCTGGGCTTGGCTGGTCCTGAACCAGAGCCTCTGACCTTTCCCGCCGCCCTGACCCTCCCCTGGCCTTCTTTCTCTTTCCCATGAAGGAGAGGAACCAAATGTCACCCTTGTACTCGCCAGGAACAACCCAAAGTGTTCAGGCTGCGGAAGAGGTGAGGAACATTCGGAGCGTTATTGGAGGTGGGATTGGAGCTCTGAGCCAGGCTGTCCGAGGGACCTGGGCTGCTGAAGGAGTAGTGAGCCCCATAAATTGGCCACTTGCCCGACGACATCCACGTCTCATGTCACCCACAGAGCTCCTGTTTCCCCTTATGAATTTGCAGCGACTCCCCCCCCAGATCCCAGAGGTGTTGTGGCCGCTGCAGGCTCAGATTCTTGGGGGTGTCTCTCCCTGGCTTGCTCTTCCTCAGGCCCGTTCTCCTGGTGGCCCCATATCCCAATGGTTCCCCATGTTTCCCTATGTCCTTTTATTGTAGGTGGACCAGGTCGGGGCAGGCACTGCGAGCCTCACTGCCTGGCTTTTCCGTACGTGCTCTTTCTCTAGAGGCAGTCACGTTCCGTGGCTGTGTGGCTGAGGCATGTGGCACTTGAGCTCCAGGGCCCGGCCCTGGACAGTGCACGACATCTTCTAATCTGCCCTCCTGTCAGGCCACTCTTGTTTACCTCTGTGCTCAAGTCACATCACACTTTAGGACACAAAGCAGGTGTAAGGAAATACAAGAATATTGACCCAAGTCCTTATCAGAACCATAAAGGAATACAATGAGGATTCAACAGCAAAAAATACCACAGAGAACATTCAAATACTTCGAGACTGAACAATGCATAGTTGAATGACTAGTGTGTCACTGAAGAAAGTAAAGGGGGAAATAAAAAGGCTCCTAGAGTCGAATGAAAATGAGATTACAGCCTCCCAGAGCCCTCAATACACAAGCAAGGCAATGCTGATAGGGAAGCGTATAGCTATGAATGCTTACGTTAAAAAAAAAGAAAAGTCAGATGCTGGTGGCTCATGCCTGTCATATTAGTTCACGAAGCAGCTAAAATCCAGAGGATCGTGATTGGCAGCCAGCCAGGGCAGAAAAAAGTCTGCAAGATCCCATCTCCAATTAACCAGCAAAAAAAATTGGTCTGGAGGCATAGCTCAAGCAGCACAGCACCAGTGTTAGGCAGGAAGCTGGGTGAGAGTGCGGGCTCTGAGCTTAAGGCCCCGTATCTCAGAAAGAAAACAAGAGAAGGAAAGAGGGGAAAACCTGTGGGGATTAGGGAGCTGTGCTGTTTCACTAGACGCTGGTCACAGAAATTAAACTAGATGTTAAAATGGACTGTTGAGTGAACCGTTCCTCTTGCTGAGCAACGTGGAAGAGTGGAAACCAATTCATGAATTAAGAGTGGGGATGATGTGTTACCCTGGGCATTAGAGAGTCTGCAACATTGGGTTTCCCACCACACACAGCTGAGGGATATCCAGATGGATTCCCAGACATTCCAGGGTGTTACCTGAGCTAATTAAATAAAGGTGCACGTATACACGTGTTTGCATGAATGCAAAGTATAGCAAGGAATGGTGATGACCCACTCATTATTTGCATGATTGCAAATACATGAAAACACATGCAAGCCAGGTTCACTGCTAGTCAACCCAATCCACGCGTGCATTTGCAAGGACTGTCGGATCGTTTTTCTTGCATTTGCATTATTTCAAAACGTAAAGATTCTCTTTGTTGCTTTGTATGTCCCTCCCCCACAGTATAATCCCTGCTTTCTCTATATTTGATGTCAGTATAACTTGTGGAGGAGATGGGGAAAAACCAGTTGTTTAAGGATACAGGTGGATCTGATGCATCAATGAGAAGTACAAGTGGTCATGTCCAAAACGAGCTTTACAACGTCGGTGCGGGGGGTGGGGGGGGGGAAGGGGGGGGGGGGAGGGGGGAAGGAGAAGGATTGGGATGGGGGGGAGGGGGGAGGCTGGGAAGGGATGGGAAGGGTAAACAAAGGAGGAGGCTGCAATGCTTGGTAAGAAATGTACGCATTATCCTGCCCATGCAATTGTAACCCCTCTGTACAGTATGTTCACAAATAAAATAAAATAAAATTTAAAAAAAAACAAAAAAAACGTAAAGATTGACAATAACTTTTACTTATTTTTCTTTGGTTACAATCCATTGCAATTTATACTTGCTATATGCATCAGGGTCTTGTGTGTTGTACAAGACAAGCACTCTAGCACCCAAGTCAAGCCTCCAGCTCTTTTGCTTTTTGATAGGATTCCGCATTTTGCCTGGCCTACGCTGATCTATGGCTCAGGAGCAGCTGAGATTACAGATGTCTCATTCGACACCTAGTTCATATGCTGAGGGCTGCCAGTCAACTTTTTCTTGGTTTGTACTTGAACTGCAATGCTCCTATTTCTCCTTTCCATGTAGCTGGACAAAATAATATTTTTTAAAACTATAAAATTAAAAAAATCAAGTAATTTTTGTAAAGCCTTGTGTATTTCCCCTACTGGAAAAGACATATTTCCCTTATGATATTTTCTGGGTCACCATTTATGCACAAAGTTAGCAAGTTAGTGATGTATTTCCTGCACCCTTTTAAAATAGACTCTTATTGCCAAGTTGTAGACCTTCTGAGAATAGAATCAACAAACTACGGTGCAAGCAAGAGAGTATCTTAGTCTAATATTTTAAAAACCAGACCATGGATCAGAGACAGTGACTCAGAGGCCTTGGGGGTTAACACTGCCTAGTCTTATGCATTTTTGCATTTGTTACTTAAAACTGTGTTGGTTACTTGAGCTTGGTACAGGAAGAACACAACATCTGTGATGAAGGAAAAAAGGTAGCAGCAAGTGCATAACTCCCCAGTGTATGTAAATCACAGTGATTTATGAGGAAGGGCTTAGAGGCCCAGCAACCTGGAGAACCAACTTGCTATTTCCCTGTTTCACTGTTGGGATGAGACGTTGAGGAAGTTCCTGTTGCTCTTCACCGCAGGACCTTGTCACCCTCGGGCGTCTCCAGAGAGCAAGGTGGGGTGGCCAGCTTCAGGGGGATGCACCGGATGAGCTCGGCCTCGTTGGGTGAGCTCGGTCTCACAGGGACCCCATCCTGCTGCAGGGGGAACACACCAGGTGAGTGTGGATGAGGTGCTCACCGGCCTGGGACCTGCAGACCCCCTCCAACCTCTGCTGTCAACATCACCAGAAGCAGGACAGAGAAAGGATGACAAGCCGGTGGGTACCTCGTCCTGGGCATCCGAGACTCAGAACAGGAAGGCTTCGTGCTGTGTGGACTAATGCATTCGTGACAGCCTCATGAACCGCAGCTTAATTCCCACTGCTTTTCATAGCTACAGAAAGATTTCCCACGCCTACTGAACATGTACATTGAATACTACATAATGTTGCTTCGAAAATTAAAAACAAATCTACTAATTACTAACCCTTTACTAAGCATGGGGTAGATATGTAATCTGTGACGGGCAAAGGGAAAAACATATTATTGAAGTGAAAAATGAAGATATTACACAAATGTATTTTATTTGTGGGTAGGTGTGCACACACACCTTTGTAAGGTGTCATCCCTGATACCAGATACCAAAAGACAAATTATTTCCATGATATTAGTTGGAGGTAGTGGGTTGTCTGAGGGGTAACACATATATCTGGGTCACTGTACACACTTAATTTGAAGCGTTAAAAAAAAGCACCCCAGTGGTTGAGAAATATCACACACCAGTTCAAAACCTTATTTCCTTCCTCATAGCTTTTTTTTTAAATCATTCTTGTCTAGATCTCCAGTGTCTGGAATGAAATATGTAGATCAAGTAGAAACATCTGGACAGTATAATAAATGAATCTTCTTTTGCATGCTAGCACCCGAGGACTCAAGTGTGCCTTCCACCACCAAGTCCTGAAGACCAAGGCTACGGACTAACACACACACGTCATCTGGCTGAAATTCCTGGGTCGAGTTGGACAGTACGGCATTTCCTGAAGGAAGCAGTGTATCTATAAGTGGACAGGTCCCAGCCTTCGCTTGTTGGTTCTTTTACACCGGGTTGTAGCAGTGAGCGGGCGACATGCTCTGAGGCTGCTGGATGTCAGATGTCCATGTTAATAAATACCCCACAGAGGCCTTAGAAGCCAACAATGGGTCCTGTCCCGCAAGGCGTCTTCTTGGTCGTCGTAGGTCTGCTGTTCATCGCTGGAAATTTGGGAAATGGATTCATAGCCCTGGTGAACTGCAGGAACTGGGCCAGGAGGAGGAAGATGTCTTCCATCGACCTCATCCTCACCGCGCTGGCGGTCTCCAGGATTGGCTTGCTTCTCTCTTCCTGTACCAGTATGCTGACGGCATCACTGAACCCAGAGTTGTGGAAGACGGCGAACATGTTAAAGATGATTTTTTTAACCTGGATGGTGACCAACCACTTCAGCATCTGGCTCGCCACGAGCCTCAGCGTCTTCTATTTTTTCAAGATAGCCAACTTTTCCAACTCCGTTTTCCTTTATCTCAAGTGGAGAGTTAGCAAAGTGGTTTTCTGGATGATCCTGGGGTCTCTGGTCATCTTGTTCATCAGTGGTTTTCTGATAAACACAGCCGTCAGTGTGTGGTTCGTGGAGTTCCGAAATACCTCTTGTATTTTCAGCTCAGAGACGTCACTGCAGTTTTCCATGCATTTTCTCATCCGCATCAACCTTTTCCTTTGCATCCCGTTCCCCGTGTCCCTGGCGGCCTTCATCCTGCTCATCTTCTCCCTGTGGAGACACCACAAGAGGATGCGGCCCCGTGGCCCAGGACCCAGGGATGCCAGCTTGGCGGCCCACGTCCGAGCCCTGCAAATGGTGATCACCTTCCTCCTCCTGTATTCCATCTTCTTTCTTTTTCTCATCATACAGATTTGGAACCATGCAACCCTGGAGAACACTCATGTCATTTGGCTTTCTGAGGTGCTGCTCATGGTCTTTCCTTCATTCCACTCCTACACCTTAATCCTGGCAAACAGCGAGCTGAGACAGGCCTGGCTGTGCTGCTGTGGCCGAGGGGCTAGAGGCTCGACACCCCAGGGCCGAGGGACCAGCTAAAGACTCAGCGCTCCAGGACCACTGAAATGACTTGGAGTCAATCTTGCATCACCTAGATGATGTGTATGTTATCCAATTGTGCTTTCTAAATAGTCTTTCCTTCTGTGTAATTCTGAGAATTCACAGAGGTCCACACGGGGCTGGGGAGGGGTGGAATGAGCCCTGTCCAATCCCTTCCAACCTTACTGGGATGCATTCATTAACAGACATTCACACAATGACTTAGACACAGTAAGTTTTTATTGTGAAGTGTTTATAATGGCGGTCATGAACGTCTATATGATTTTAGAACAATAATAACAAAGGAAGCATGCATGGAATGAAATGTTACATTCACCTCAAGCAATCTCAAATCTAAGTATCAGATAAGAAATGATGAATAAGCCAGGTGCTGGTGGCTCACGCCTGTAATCCTAGCTACCCAGGAGGCTGAGATCTGAGGATCGCTGTTCAAAGCCAGCCTGGACAGGAAAGTCCATGAGACTCTGATCTCCAATTAACCACCAGAAAACCAGAAGTGTTGTTGTGGCTCAGGTGGTAGAGCGCTAGCCTTGAGATAAAGAGCTCAGGGACAGCATACAGGTCCAGAGTTCAAGCCCCACAACTGACAAAAAACAAAACAAAACAAAAGAAATAATGTATAGAGTTTAAATGTACAAATTCTATTGTTTCAAACACAAGAGCTACCAGACCAGTTTTGTGAGGCTTTCCTCAGAACCACAAGGGCGCTTTAATCCAGCATTTCTGTGGGTGCTGCTTGCTTCAGCATGAAGAATTCCCAGTCCATACAGAACACTAGCAGAAATAATAGCCTGTGTTTGTGGGCTGATCATACCAGTGTGGTTGCATATGAGTGCCTGCATTTGTGGCTTCACACAATAATGCTATGTGTAAGCATTCGTGACCTGCACCTATTTTAGGTAGGATCAGCTTTGTGCAAAATATTCTGAGAAGAAACATTTGGAAAATGCAGGGCCACTCATTCTATACAGTAAGCAGTAACAAGGCAGTAAGGTCAACCATAGATAACCAAGGTTCAGCTGGACATTTATGCACAACCTGTGTATTAAGTCGTTCAACCTACAGGCTGGCATTTGAATTTGATAGATTAAAATCATGCAGATTAGATATGACAAACTAAATACCAAAAGGATGAAAATGAATATGTGTTCATTTGCATGGTAGCAGACGAGAGTCTGTCTGGCTTTCCCTCAGACACCAAAACTATTACAGGTGCAGCCTCTGGAAGGGATGGGTGAATGGATGGAATTTATTTTTAGTCCTTTGGGGGACTAACAATGAAAATACACATTAGAACCCATCCTTAAGACTCTTGGGGTCCATTGTAATTTAGAGTTTTTCTAGGTATTGTGCCCAGAAAATTTTAAACAAGAAGGCTGTATTCACTCCAGGGGATGCTAATAAGTTCCCTTTGTTGCACTGGGGAATCTGTCAGTGGGTGGAGAGAGTCCAGGAAAATGCAACACAACAGTAATCCATCAGCTCATCATCTACTCATCTATCTATCCATCATCCATCCATCCATCCACTCACCTATCATCCATCCATCATCTGCTCATCATCCATTCATCCATCATCCATCCATCCATCTATCCATCATCCATCCATTAATCCATCCATCCATCCACCCACCTATCATCCATCATCTACTCATCATCCATCTGTCCATCATCCATCCATCTACCCAGCTATCATCCATCCATAATCTGTTCATCATCCATCCATACACCCACCCACTCATCCATCCATCCATCCATCCATCCATCCACCCATCCATCCATCCACCCATCCATATTTCTGTCTCTCCATCCATTTGTCTGTTGTCTATGTCTTTTCTCTTTGGCTGGGTTTGAGCAGAAGTTCACCTCCCCTCCTGGACTCCATTGGTCATGGTGGCAGGTTCAAGCCCCGTTCTTGGATTGAGGGTAAAGTGACTCATGCCCATCTCTACCATAGCTGGGCTTCAGGATCTGCATTTTTTTTCCTTGAAGAATAAGACTCTCCATCACATTAGTAGATAAATCTGGGCGGTTTTAGGAAGGATTGTGGGAAGCACAGGCCTCAAATGTCTGTGAAACCTCTGAGCTCATGAGTCCTACAGACCAGTTCAGACCCTTATCACCCCCCAGAATTTTGAAATGTTCATTGTCCAGAACTCAAGCAGCCAGATTCTAAAAAGCAGATCAAGGAGGAAAAAAATCAACATAAGAATGCAAACAACATGTATTTATTTGCATGCCAGCATTCCTGTCATCCTATGACACCTGGAGGATGTTCTAGGCTTCTGCTCCTGTGAGGAGCACAGCTCTGAAGCTCAATTTATCTGGGTGGATAAACAAAGAAGCAGGAAGAAAGCTATGAACACAGCCATTGGCAAGCCTTGCTATTTGCTGGATTTTGTGTACAGAAGTCTTACCACAGAGGATTTTTATAAACATTCAAGAGGCAGAGGGAACATTTCAAGCAAATGTTTTAGCCAGTGACATTAAAGATTGGGACATTTGCTCGCAGACGATGGCTGTGGTTCAGAGCACATTTATAGTCATTTTCATTTTGGAACTCATCATTGGGAATCTGGGAAATGGGTTCATAGCCCTGGTGAACTGCGTGGACTGGCTCAGGAGGGGAAAGCTGTCTTTGGTGGACCGAATCCTCACCGCCTTGGCCATCTCCAGAATCGGGCTGCTCTGGTCAGTAGTTCTGAGCATATTTATGCTTGTGCTGTACCCAGCTAGTGCTGCCACTGGAAATAAGAGCAGGATGATTTTCGCTTTCTGGGTAGTAGCCAACCATTTCAGCACCTGGCTTGCTACAATCCTCAGCATATATTATTTTCTGAAGATAGCCAATTTTTCCAACTCACTTTTTCTTTACCTAAAGGGGAGAGTGAAGAGAGTAGTTTCCGTGACATTGCTTTTCATCGTGGTCCTCTTGTGCATGGATGTGATGCTGTTAAAGCCATTTCCTAATGGGTCGGAGAGGAATGTGTCTTATGGGCGCAGGACAACTAAACTTGCCGGGGTTTCTGTCCTTTCCACGGTGTGCCTTTCTGTGCCCTACACCGTGTCCCTGGCGGTGTTTCTCCTGCTCATCTTCTCCCTACGGAAACACCACAAGAGGATGCGGCACCACGGCCAAGGACCCAGGGATGCTGGCACCGCGGCCCACGTCCGAGCCCTGCAAATGGTGGTCGCCTTCTTGCTCCTATACTCCATTTTCTTTCTGGCTCTCGTGGTACAACATTGGAGCTCTACATACCTGAACACATGCCTGCACATCCTGTTTTTCCAGGCTGTTGGGACGGTTTTTCCTTCTGGCCACTCGTGCATCCTGGTTCTGGGAAACAGCAAACTGAGGCGGGCCTTTCTGTTGGGGCTGCAGCAGCTGCAGTACGGGCTCAGGCCCAGGCCCAAAGTTGGGGAACTTTCACCGCCCTAAATCGTACCAGCTTTATGTTCCCTGGGGCTGGTGTTCTGCTCCTTGAGACACACATCCACTTCCAGCTTTTTGGTGGTTCATTGGAGATAGGAGTCTCATGGACTTGCCTGCCCATCTGGCTTTGAACCTCAATCTTTAGATCTCAGCCTCCTGAGTAGCTGGTATGACAGGTGAGGCACGGCTTCTCACCTCCTAACCACTCATTTAGGCTCCTGAGAGCTAAGGTTCAGTGCTGACTTGCTTCGCAGCACACTCGCTTTTGTTTAGAAAACCTACTGGCTTTTGAATGATGATTTTATGATCATAAACATGTTGCTAAGAATATTCAGATATAATGTTTTCTGGTAGAGTATCTAGGGTCTTTTACGTACAGGGTTATATCATCTGCAAATGGAGAGAATTTGAATGTTTCCTTGAGTTTGGTTTTCTCTTATTCTCTCTCTTTGTCATTCCCTTGCTGACAGTTGTGGCTGAGAATTTTATCCCAATTATCGCATAAGCGTGAAGTGAGGGGACACGCTTTCTCTTGGTTTAGACAGGATTTCCCCATTTATAGTACAATGTTGAGCCTTCATTACTGCATATAGTTTTATTATTCTGATTTATAATCATTTCCTGAAATACACCAGAATTTAATTAAAAAAATCATTGATTGCATAATAGCATAATAGCGGTGGAGAGAGTTGTTTTTTTTTGTTGGTCGTGGGGCTTGAACTCTCTGGGTCTGGGTGCGGTCCCTATGCTCTTCAGCTCAAGTCTGATGCTGTACCACTTGAGCCACAGTGCCACCAGTTTTCTTGTGTTTATTGGAGATAAAGTCTCAGGGACTTTTCTGCCCAGGCTGGCTTTGAACTATGATCCTCAGATCTCAGCCTCCTGAGTTGCTAGGATTACAGGCATGAACCCCAGGTGCCCAGCTGGAGAGAATTTTTGAAATGTACAGTAGGAGGCAAGTAGCATAGTGTTTCTGTGAAGAAGAGGCCTTGAAGCACAGTCGCCCCTCAGAAATCAGGGTCCTGAAAACTGGGGCATGTCAGGGGTTCCTCTGTTTCTAAAATGTCCTCTCTTTCTATAGTCTTTGCTTCTGTACATTTGTAAGAATATAAAGGTGCTTCTCTCTATTCCTTGGTTCTATGCATGTATGAGGGCATCAGACCTTTATGAATCGTGTCTATGTTAGCCTGCACCGTGGACCTCTTTGAGCTGGTAGGTGGCTCTGGAATAAAGGGGGGCTGCTCCCGTTCTAAGGGCTCCCAGGTGTTGTGAGACTGTGTCCCGAGCCAGCAAGTTACAGCCTCACCCAATTCAGAAAGAGACGCAAGAGCAGAAATCACATGTTCATTGTTTTATTGGTGGGGGCCTCAGACCATGCTGATGGGGTGGGGGGTGTTGGAGGGCTGCATCTTCTGGCTCCCTTTCTGAAAGGAAAGAAGAGGGCAGGTTATGGAGGGCTGGGCAGGCAGAGGCCTTTCTTGCCTCCTGGGTTCTCACTGGGAGAGGCAGGAGAGCTTGGTGCCCCCCCCTCCCCTCCTCCCTTCCCTCCCCTGTCCTTCCCAGCCAGGGAGCCATGTGGGGGAGGGGGGATTAGGAGGTAGAATGCCTGGTCCCCAGGCCCTCCGAGGAGGATGCAGCCTAGTGCCATGGGCCGCACCAGCCAGGAGGGAGTGTCATCCTGGGGAAAAGGGAACTGGCAGTGTTCTACCAATCACAACTCCCTTGGGGTACGTTGTGATTGTTTGTTGAAAGGGCCCAAGTAACTTAACAGTAACAATTTTACATAAGTGAAACATACTTAAACTTGATTCATTCCGACACTTTGGAGAATTGTAGGCCTTAGAGACTTTCAAGGAGAAAAACATTTAAATCGTACCTGATATGGACTTGTGGGTTCCTTTGAAGGTTGGCCTTGGGGCATCACTGCTGTGGGGGTCCCTGCTGGGGGCCTCCTTGCTGTGGGGGTCCCTGCTGGGGGCCTCCTTGCTGTGGGGGTCCCTGCTGGGGGGGTCCCTGCTGTGGGGGTCCCTGCTGTGGGGGTCCCTGCTGTGGGGGTCCCTGCTGGGGGGGTCCCTGCTGTGGGGGTCCCTGCTGTGGGGGTCCCTGCTGGGGGGGTCCCTGCTGGGGGCCTCCTTGCTGTGGGGGTCCCTGCTGGGGGCCTCCCTGCTGTGGGGGTCCCTGCTGTGGGGGTCCCTGCTGGGGGGGTCCCTGCTGTGGGGGTCCCTGCTGTGGGGGTCCCTGCTGGGGGGGTCCCTGCTGGGGGCCTCCTTGCTGTGGGGGTCCCTGCTGGGGGCCTCCCTGCTGTGGGGGTCCCTGCTGGGGGGGTCTCTGTTGTTGGGGTCCCTGTTGTTGGGGTCCCTGCTGGGGGCCTCCCTGTTGTGGGGGTCTCTGTTGTTGGGGTCCTTGTTGCGGTCCTTGTTGGGGTCCATGTTGCGGGGGTCTCTGGTGAGGACCATGTGGCGGGGGTCCATGTTGCGGGGGTCTCTGGTGAGGACCGTGTTGAGGGGGTCCGTGTTGCGGGGGTCCGTGTTGTGGGGGTCCATGTTGCGGGGGTCCGTGTTGCGGGGGTCTCTGGTGAGGACCGTGTTCCTGGCTCTCTTCACTGGACGACCTGGATCCTCCAGGAAGGGGTCTCAGAGCTGGGCCCTGGAGTGGTCTCCCGAATCCTGTGTTTGCACAGCAAGTCCCCACCATGGTCCTGTAAGCTCACCGGCCTGGGCTGCGCTTTCTCCTGCTCATCTCCTATGAGCTCCCTCCCCACAGGCTAGTCCCAGCCCCAGCCCCGTGCCCTACCTTGACCATATCTCTGAGCGGAGCTCAGGGCCAGCAGGGCTGCGGTGAGCAGGACCAGCAGCATCATGGAGGAGGCTCTGGACAGGCTCTGGAATCTGTGCCGGGATGTGGGGCCTCTCGCTTTATGAGGAGGAGCAGAAGAATGGAGCTTTGAGCTCGCCCGGTGCCCTTCTGCCTGACATACTGGAATGCCTCGCATCCCTGACTCTTCTTCTGGACCAGAGCCTGGCCGGATGGGCAGGGAGGAGGCTGTCAGCGTGCCTTTCTGCAAGGTGTGACGTGCTATTTGTGCAAAGTGTTTAAAGAACTTTTTTTGTTTTCCTTGTGCTCAGGTCTTTATGGAGTGGGTTAAAATGCATCGCTGGGATCTCTCAGCCTGCGCAGGCCCAGAAAGATTGCCCGAGGTTCTGAGATCCGCTTCTGATCACAGGAGCATAGATTTCCTCCTTACTACTATCCCAGTGGGATTTGAAAGTAGGATTGGCCCCGCAGTCCACCCCAGGGACCCCATGGTGTGGTGGCATGCTAACGCGCCAAGGCGTGTCATCTCTCACGTCTTCCTTTGCCCGATTCCCCTTTCAAAATGCTTTCTAAGTAGGGACCCGGGACCTAAGTGTTTTCAGCTGGGGACACAGAGTCCCCCTGGGTGCCCCTTGTCCTTTCCTCCTCACAGCATGGGCCAGCCTGCGTTGGGTGGACCCAGACACGAGCCTTGTCTGAGCATGGTCACATCCTTGCACATCTCTCCTCCTAACACAGTCACATTCCGGGGCTTTGGCGGCCGGAGTTTATCGTAGTTGTGGGAGGGGTGGGGAGAGGAAGCCGGCATACCCCCTAACCCCCAGGGCTCCAGATGCTGCTTTCGTGTTGTTGAACTCTGAATTGCTTTAAAAAAAAATACCAAATGCAGTTGACTGTGTTTTCAGAATACGATCCCTGACCTAATCTCTGTTCCAAGCCCCGCTTCAGCAAGTATTTCTTCTGTCTTGGTGGACTTCACAGTTCCCAAGAGGCCCGGGAACAACCTTGTCCTCTGTCTCAGACCTGGTCAGCTCTCTGTGCAACTGCCACAGTGTCCCGTTGAAAAGACAAATGTGAGTTTCATAGTTTGAATGCAAATCCCCTAAAGTTCCCCTGCTGCACCTGTAGTTCTGGATTCAGACCTCCATCCTGCAGCCACTCCATGTCTTCCTTCCCTCCTGCCTTTCTTCCTTCCTCTCTCCCTCCCTCCTTTCTTCTTTCTTTTCTTTTTTTCTAACTCTCAGAAAAACACATGCAAATGGCTAAAAAACGCATGAAGAATGTTCAGAATCTTTAGCCACAAAAGAAATACGATTTGAGGCTTATTTTAACATCTATTTAATTTTTAAAATTTAATAACCAAAGATGAATGAGTGAGGACAAGGGAAACTATTTGCTTTGTGCTGGTACCAGATCTTGAATTCGGGGCTTTGTACTATCACTTGGTTTTTTCCACTCATGTCTGGGTCTCTACCACTTGGCCCATGCCTCCAGTCTTGATTTTTATTTTATTTTTTTATTTTTTTTGGGTCCAGTTGTGGGGCCTGAACTCTGGGCCTGGGTGCTGTCCCTCAGCTCTTCAACTCAAGGCTAGCGCTCTACCACTTGAGCCACAACGCCACTTCCGGCTTTTTTCTTTTTGCTTATGTGGTGCTGAGGAATCGAACCCAGGGCCTCAGGCATGCAAGGCAAGCGCTCTACCACTGAGCCACCTTCCCAGCCCCATTGATTTTTATTTTTTCTGTTAAATTGGAGACAGACTCTCATGGGCTTTTTTGCTCAGGCAGGCTTCAAATTGGAGCTTCAGATTGAAGCATAATAGACTCTGGAGAGCACACATAGTGTAGTTCTTTAGAAAGGCTAAGTCAAAGCCCAATGAAATGAGCACCAGGAATGAGGAGGGTGGGGCCCCGAGGAGAAGAGCACAAGAATGAAGGGGGAGAGGGGATGCAGGCAGGCAGGCACTGGCTGCCCTCAGAACTGAGAAGACACGGAAAGGGCAAGTCCAAGCGGTGAACACATCGATGGGGTACACAGACCAAGATGCACTGTGCACGCAAACTGTTTTGTTAAATGGCAAGAGTCTTCAAGAGAATGCTGACCAGAGATGCAGATCGGGATGCACTGTGTTCACGAGCAGCTCGGGTGACCAGCAACGCCTTTGTACAGCTCCTTAAAGATAATAAAAACACTCAAAAAATACTGAAGGAAAAATAAACCCAACCGCACGGGGGCCTCCGGGTCTCAGCCTCTGTGTCATGGGGCTTGTAGGCCTGACCCAGGTCTGCACATCTACACATTGTTTGTGAAGTGGCCAGGAAATAGTTAGAACATTACTCACTATGTTAATTAAATTGTCAATATTTAAGTACTAATTACACCTGGGAGCAACCATGTGAAAGGTCCAAGAACAAGACACGTGTTAGGAAACTATTAAGGATGGACTAAAACGCCAGAAACTGACAAAAGGGGCTATTGAAAAAAATATCTATGTCCCTGAAAGACATGTTTGAATGTAGAGAATATGGAGCACTCATTTTTCTCTATCCATGGTGGATGCATGTGTGTGCTCAGGCGTGCATACGTGTGTATGTGTGTGCCTGCATGCAGACTTGCTGAAGAATCTCGTTAGATCACAGGTACCACTTTTGTTACCCGTTTCAGATTCCTAAGAGGTCTTGGCCTTGCTGGGATTCCTGAGAAAAACTTAGATGCTGGTAAGAAAAATTTGGGTTCCTGTATTCCTACATCTGGCGTGAAATGAGCCCCGAGCTTTGTTAAATGGCTTGCATGCTGTACTGAGCTCTAAAATGTTTTAATTCCAAACCACTAATCCCAATGAACACAACCCATGGAGGTTAAACAAGGGCAAGTTGCAAACTGTGAAACAGAACCTACCTTTATTTGCATGCTGGAAACCGAGAGCCCAGAGCTCAGTTCAGCACCGGCTAAGGAGCGCACCTGTGGGTGGTCTCAGTTGCTTTCAGAAGACTGTTCTCCACGAAGACATCATTGAGCTCACTCACTTGCGCAGGGCAATGGGTCCGAGGCTGTCCCAGATATCACCACGAGAGAACTTCGTCCGAGGCAAGTAGAGCCCAAAGTCAGGGCAGAGAGAACCGCAGCCAGAGATATTGTGTCTTTTTGTCCCGTGTGTGCAGACATGACAAGTTTCTTACAGATCGTATCCAGCATAGCATTGGTGGAATTTGTTCTTGGGAATTTTGCCAATGTCTTCATAGCTCTGGTGAATGCTTTCGACTGGGTCAAGAGACGGAGGGTCTCCTCCGCGGATGGAATCCTCACGGCTTTAGCTGTCTCCCGGCTTGGCTTGCTTTGGGTAATAATGCTCTCTGTGCAATTCACTGTGTTCAATCCAGCTTTTCCCAGGGGTAAGAGCAGACTTGCTCTTGTCGTCGCCTACGTCACAACCAACCATTTTAGCAGCTGGAATGGTACGGCACTGATCATATTTTATTTTCTCAAGATAGCCAGTTTTTCCAACCCGACTTTTCTCCATCTAAAGAGAAGAGTACAAAGCATCGTCGTCCTTGTGGTTTGCGGGACTTTGGTGTTTTTGTTTCTTAATATTGTGATGCTGCACATGGGTTGGATAATGCAGGTGGGTGACTGTGAAGGAAATGCAACTTGGAAGATGGAGCTGAGGGGTGCTATCGACCTCTCCACTGCGGCCTTGTTCTCTCTCCTGAACCTCATTCCCTTCTTCACATCGCTGGTTTGCATTCTGCTGCTCATCTACTCTCTGTGCAGACACCTCCGGAGGATGCGGCTCCACGTGGAATGCTCCAGAGACGCCAGCGTCGCCGTCCACGTGAAGGCCTTGCAAATGATGGTCTCCTTCCTCCTGCTGTTTACCCTGAACTCTCTGACCATCATCGCCTCCAGCTGGACTTCCAGTATACCCCAGAATATGTGGACCGAACCGCTTTTCCATATGGTGGGACTCTTGTACCCTTCGAGCCACTCGTACATCCTGATCTGGGGAAATAAGAAGCTGAAGCGGGCCTTTCTCTCGGCGCTCGGGCAGGTGAGGGTTTGGCTGAGAGACTGGAAACCTTCCAGGCCACAGGTCTATGGTAGCACCTCGGCGGGACCTCTAGCCTAAGCTAGATTGGTAGAGTGTAGCACCGTTATCACAGCATCCAGACTATTCCTTTGCCGGATTTCTAAAGGTCTTCCCACAAATTCTTTTATTTAACCGTATTAAATAAGAGGATATATGCCTTTGTATGTTTGTGCACAGGTATGAAAATGCAAGTCAGTCTCTGAGCACTCATGAGATGAATGTGTAACCCTAGGCAACATAGAGACCTCTGGCTATCCATCCCCAACGCCTCAAACCCAGCAAATGGAATGGTTTCCAAGAGGATGTGTTGTGAAATAAATAAATAAATGGACAAACGAATGGAAAAACACCATCCAGGGTTCGGTCAATCAACACCCATAAAATCTGTCACCCAACCTACAGATGACATGCGTTTTCTTGGTTCTGGCTTCATGTTGAAGTGACAGACCACACAAGTAGAAGTGATCCTCAGAGCCACCACTCCAGAGGGGAATTCAGAAAACGCAGCTGTGGCATCAGGGCTGTGTCCCAAGGCAAAGCAGCATAGAAGGGGGAAGAATTGGGCTGGGCCTGAAGTGTCAGCGGCCTTGGGAAGACCAGCCAGGCAGGGCAGCCCCAGGGGTGGTGGCCGGGATGCCTGCTGGGCAGAGTTCAAAATGTCCCCGTTCACATGCTGATTCTTTCATGCTGGCTGGGCCATTGCGGCAGGTGCTAGAAGCCTGGGCAGGTCAGCCTGGTGTTGTACCTGGTCCTCAGCCTCCTTCCCTTCCTGCTCACTGCCAGGGCAGCCTCAGCTTCCTCCTGCTGCAGGTTTCCTCGACTTGTCTACTGGGGGCCGAGGACCATCTGGGGCTAAAGGGGAGAAAGCGGCGCTGGCCTTCACAGCAGTCTCCGCAGTAGGTCACTCAAGCGATGTCATACATCTCTGCACATGTCTGTGTCTATGTGAATTATACATTTATGTTACGGTGTTTTCTCTGTGGCTGCACACACATCACACACACACACACACACACACACACACACACACACACACACACACACACACCCCACTGGGAAAATCTGAAGGTTAGATAATAGCCGGCTTCCTCTCTAAAATTGATATGCTATGGCGATCGTTTCATTTCTCTTGGGTTTCAGTGCGTGTTAAGCTTCCGGGCTGTGGATTTCTGGGAGGTAGGGCCACCAGCGACCCCAGAACCCGTCCCTGGCAGGTCACCAGGGGGTCAGAGGGCGGTGCTCACTGCCACCATGCAGGGAGAGAACCGCCCTGGCCCCCCGGGGTACACCTCCCTCCCCTCACTGGGGAGAGGGCTCAGCGCCCATTGCCAGTTTATCTCCCTCTCAGCAGCAGCCGGCCAGGCCAGGCTCCGCTCCTTGGTCTCTATCCAGTGATGCACAGCTTCCTGGGCTAGGGCCGGCTGCAGGACTGCTGAGGCCTCTCCATCAGCCCACCAATCTGGCATGGAAAATAAGATCTTTTTTTTTTTCAGGTGGAAAAGTGCATTTAAAATAACACTATGAAAATTGGAGTGAGGAGGGACTTCCATCGTGTTTTTTCCCCTTTAATTTCTGTTAAATCGGGCTGACAGGGTCAGAGGACACGATTCGGTTTGCTGTTATGTAAGAAGTGTAAGGACTAGTAGAGTTACACACATAGGATTAATATCAATATAATGATCCAAGGAGAGAGAAGCATAGATACAATTACGGGCGGTTACCTTTTTGATATCTTGCCTTTGGGACAGCCAGTACAAAAAACTTACCATGAATAACCAAGATTAGAACGATCCAATGCACCTCTGGCCAATGCACCCCATACAACACCTGCCGTGGCGTGGAAAAAGGTGCCACGTGTTATGAATGGAATAGGTGGGAATTCACCTGGCCACTGCCCTCTCCTTGTTTGGAAAGGAGCTGCAGGTGGAGAGGAGGCCTGAAAGGCTCTCCAGAACGGGAGAGGCGTGGGTGGGGATGGGGTGCAGTGTGGGGTGGGCTGTGACCTTGCTGGAGTTGTAGGAGCAGCACCCATCCCCCAACCCCTCCCTTCCTTCCTTCCTCCCTCCCTCCTTCGGGGAGGGGACCCACCTCTGAGCTCCTTCCTGGAGGGAGCCGAGCAGGGATCCCTGGCTTCCTCAGCGCCCATGGTATCCTTTTAACACTTAGAGTATTTGCCTTAAATTTCCCGTCTGTGCTGGGCTATTCTGCCTTTTCTTCTTTTTCTTTCCTCTTGGTGTGGGGGCATTTGTGAGACATTCCAGGACACACATCGGGTTCACTTTTTGCCCAGGATGGATTCAGGGGACCAAGCCTGGGACCGGCGTGCGTGCGGTCAGCAACGCCCTTGTCCCAAGCCGGAAGATGCTCCAGAGAGAGTCCATGGCACTCAGTGTGGCACTCTCCAATGTCTCTTTTTCATTTGGGACAAGAAACAGAATTCTACCTGTTCTCACTTGCAGGGTTGAGAGAGTTGGAGTCTACATAATGTCATCATTTCGTTCTCTCTCCAGCATATTGGAGACTATTTTTAAGCAATGTCTTAACATCTGAGCCCAAGTTTGGTGGACAATCAATGTTGAAAGATGAGTTTACTTGAATTGTTGAACTAGAATAAAGGGTTTAGTGGTTTTATGAGCGAATGCATGAATGCATGCCTTTGTAGGAAGTAAAATGATAAATATTGTTCTCAATTTGGGGCATCCCTGGAACAATGTAACATTCCTGTATATCACAACATTACTTCGGTTACAGCTGCTTTGTACAATGGATGCCTACATCCTGTGAGGATCTAACAAGGCATTAAAAGAGTCCCAAGGCAGGCTGGGAAGGTAGCTCAGCGGTAGAGTGTATGCCTTGCAAGCATGAGGCCCTGGGTTCGATTCCTCAGCACCACACAAACAGAAAAAGCTGGAAGTGGCACTGTGGCTCCAGTGGTAGAACGCTAGCCTTGAGCTGAAGAACTGAGGGACAGCGCCCAGACCCAGAGTTCAGGCCTCATGACCAGCAAAAAAAAAAAAAAAAAGAGCCCCAAGGCTTAGAAAGCTCCATATACCAGCTTAAATGTTCCTTTACTTCTATGTATTTATAATGTCCAGGACCCAAGTAGCCAGATTAAAACTCAGAGACAAGAACAACAGGATAATACAAATTAATGCACCTTCATTTTCATGCAAGCACAGAAGAATTCAACATTTCCTTCCTCGTGATCTACAAATACTTCAGGTTCCTATGTTTAGTGTACACAGAATCAGAACGAAGGCAAATGCAAGATTTTCATGAAGACGACTGAGAACCAGTGCGCATCCTGGCAAATCTTATCTTTGCTGGTTTGAGAATGCAACTCAACTCAGTGTTCAAGTGTAAGATACACATAGAGTTTAGACGGATTCATGAAGAAGACTTCAGCAATAAAATGAGACATTGGAACTTCATACAGAAAGTGGAAGGTGTGCCGGCCATGTTGATAATCACTGTGAGTGTGGAATGGGTGTGCCAGCCACATTGATAATCTCCGTGTGAGTGTAGAAGGCCTGGTTGGGAAGTGAGGAAGCAGATTCGTAGACAGGCCGGGTCAGGAGAAGCCTTTTACCTGCTGGTCATGTCGGCACTGCCTGGCAGTGCCCAGAGCTGGCTGCCCTGGGAGGCACTGCCAAATTAGGGTTATCTGTGTTTTACCAAGCGTTGTGGTTGAGTGGGAAGACGTGAAGGAAGATTCACATGTGCTCCACAGGAAGCAATCGCCCTCACCTCTGGCTTGTTACAAGCGCAAAGTCTTGTATTTTCTCAATAGCCAATTTCCCCAGCTTTGCTCTTGCTGAGGTGGAGAGCCTGGGTCTCCAGGACGCTGCTGGTGTCTTTATTCCTCTTGGTTTTAATCACTGCCCTTGTCCCTGATAGGTCTACCATCCCTTCCCTGTGGGCATAGTGCCAGGGGCTTCGACAGGGTGGAGAGTCCACGTGTGCCCGCACCACGGCCCAGCCACAAGCCACGGAACCTGAGGTCACCCTCCTCTAACCGTTCAGTGTTAGCTTCCTGTCACTCTTCACACAAGTTTGGAGCTTCAGATCACTGGTCCCAGATGTGGGTTGCTGGAACACTCCTTTGTTCTGCTCCTGTCAACCAGTAGCTGAGACAGGCCTCCATCCAAGGGCTTCCATTCCAAGGGCCTCCATCCACAGGCCTCCATCCAAGGGCCTCCATTGTGGCATTGTGATGGCTGAGGTGCAGGTCTGAAAACATGGAACCTTTCAGGCCCATAGACCATGTCTAGGATCATTTTGCATATTCTTGAGGACTTAGCTCATAAGTGTATTATGTTTTTTTTTTTATTTTGAAATTTGTGCTTTCCCTATTTTATTCTGCTGCATGACTTTAAGAATGTTACAAATGTTGTTTTGGAATAAGTACTATGAACATTTTCAGCCTTAGGAGAAACTTACATGAGTAAAGGGGTGGGCACACAGACCAGGATACCAGTGCAAATCGCTGACACGTCAGGAAGCTCCATACAGATAAGTGATAATATCAAGGTTTGTTTATTTCCCCTTTTCAGATTTTCAAGTCAAAAACCTATAGAAATGTAAAGCTTCTCTGTGAGAGAGAGAGAGACATTGCTACAGGAACAGAATCTGATAAAACTACAGACACAAAACTGGTTCTAATGTCAAACATTGTCCTACAACTTCAGATAATAGATGAAGAATAAAAAGAGTGTATTGTTGGAAGTCAAATTCGCTGGATTTACCATTTAGATAAGATTCATTCTATGAATCAAACACGCTTTTGGATTGAAGGGTGATTTAGATCCCAAGGCTGTGTGTACTCAAATTCCTGGAGCCCGAGACCCCCCCCCCGCCCTACCCCGCCCCCCGCCGCCAGGGATGTGCCATGCTCTGTCGGAAGGGCATGCTCTACCATGTGCCATTCGAGTGCGCCTTAATTTTAGTGCATGCAATACAAATTGCAGCTTTGGTGTTCTTTTAATTGAACGTCATGTGTGGAAGGTTATCATAGGAAGAGAAGGACTACAGCAAACTCCAGAGGCCCACATGTGCCTGACTAAAGCTGACTGGACGCCGGCTGAGGATGATGAGCTGAGCAGAGGCCCCCACCCTGGGCAGACATGTCCAGCTTTGTGGAACATTTGTTCACGGTAGTTTATCTTATGGAATTCATAGTGGGGGATTTTGGAATCCACAATTTCATTCCTCCTCCTCTTCATTATGTATTTTATAAGCAAGGTTGTGTTATTTCTGGCCTATTCTTGTCTGCAGAGTGTCAAAGCAAAAATTTGTGCCCATATTCTGTTATTGTTGTACCCGTCCGGGCATGCATTACTTCTGATTCTATGGAACGGTACACTGAAGTGGGTGTGGCTGTGCACCTTGGGGAAGCTGAGCTGTGTGTGATGCGTGGAATCCCCGGCTCCCGTGAGCATGTCCATTCTCCCGGACTGCTCCTGGGGAGAGGGACACAGAGGAACTCTGAGGACCGGCCGTGATGGGACTCATCCATGATCCCACGACTCAGGAAGCTGAAGCAAGGGGAGCCCGGGTTCAAGGCCAGCCTGAGCTCTGGACTACCTAAGGTGCCGACTCAAGAAAAAGAGAAAGAAGAGGATAGAAGGTCTCCTGTGCTTCTCTCTCACCCGGCTCTTCAGCTGTGCCTTCTGTGATGTGCTCTTGAGTCACTGGGAGAATACTTGCCTCATCTAAATGGAAAGGAACATTTTGTGTTTTATTGTTGCTGGGCTCCGGTGGCTCACACCTGTCATCCCAGCTACTCAGGAGGCTGAGAACAGAGGATCATTGTTCAAAGCCAGCCCAGGCAGGAAAGTTCATGAGACTAGTATTTCCAATAAACCAATAAAAAGCTGCAAGTGAAGCTATGGCTCAAGTGGTAGATACTAATTTGAGCAAGAAAGGCTCAGATGAGTTCAATCCCCTGGACTGACACAAAAAAGGGGAGGTATTTCTTTTTTTTTTTTTTTTGCCGGCCGTGGACCTGAACTCTGGGCCTGGGCGCTGTCCCTCAGCTCTTCAGCTCAAGGCGAGTGCTCTACCGCTTGAGCCACAGCGCCACTTCCGCCTTTTTCTGTTTATGTGGTGCTGAGGAATCAAACCCAGGGCCTCAGGCATGCAAGGCAAGCACTCTACCACTGAGCCACCTTCCCAGCCCAAGGGGAGGTATTTCTATTTGTTCTCATTATGCATGAAGACCATGAACCTAATAGTTTAATTGTAGTATATTTGGAATGCATTTTATATTAGACACTATTAATACACAGATTATTTCATTTTTCAACTTTATTAATATGTTAGACACATATTAGAATGGAAACAGATGAATGTTTCATAATTTAACAGTTTGATCATTTAAAGCTGGAATCCCACCCCCCAAAACTGAAGCCTAAATTAAGAGTTCATAAAGCCTAACGCTTTAGCAGACTATTTGAGGGCTCGGGAGCAAAGTCAATTTGGACACACACATTGTTCAGTGTTCCTTTCAAAACCAAGTCCTATGCTATATTTTCAGTCAAAAAAGGATTAAGCAAGTAGATGTCTACTCTATAATCTGAGCTTTTGTCATAGAAATTAAACCAACAAGGATGGTGATGGGTGTGACCAGGACTGACACGAAGTGACAGTGTGAGCCAGGGTGACAGCACTGGCTGTCTCTAGCAGTGCCCACACGCAGGCTGAGCCCCTACCTCGCCCTGTGCACAGCGTGGTGGTGAGGCCTGGCCTCTGGCCGGCCCAGCAGCCCCCTCAGGTTGTCTGGACTGGCCCTGAACCTGTCAGGGCCGAGTCTCATGCTAAGAGCTCGCGGGTGCTGGTCCAGAAACTGATTTGGGCTACAGACTGGTGGTCGCAGGGTTGCATCTGGCTTCGTGAATTATGCCACAGTGATGGCTTTCACCTCACTTTCTGTGGGATGTGCTAGGCAGCATTTACTCACACTTCTCTCTCTGTGGACAGGAGGGTCACGGATTCTGTTTGTTCCTAAAATGCGAACGAGGGAAGGATTTCTTTAGGTCGGTGTCAAGACTGGAGCTAGAGGTTCACCTGTCACTTATCTAAATATTTAGAAGAAATAAAATATAAATATACATAAATAGTTAAAGCTATAAAATATAAAGTGTAGTTGAAGGAAATTTGTTCTGTCCTAGCTATGTACCATGAACTATGTAAACATTAAATCATAAAATAATAGAAGTTAATATAATGTAAATTATATAAATAATAGAACTTAATTATGTTATGGACATAATACAAGACTGAAAACAATTTTGATATGTGTCAGCAAAGTTTGTAATTTAATTAATACAGAACTTTATAGTTCAGAAATGATATATTCATTGAATGTAAATCATTGTTTTTTTAAATAAAATGGCTGTGTATTACAATATGATGAAAATGATGTTTTTTTTTTTTACATGAGTGTTAAGTCAGACATCTTTCTCCAGTCTCCATGTAGCCAGACCTTGTGAGTCTCAATTTCTTTCTTTCTTATTTTTTTTTTTGTTAGTCATGGGGCCTGAACTCTGGGCCTGGGTGCTGTCCCTCAGCTCTTCAACTCAAGGCTGGTGCTCTACCACTTGAGCCACAGCACCACTTCTGACTTTTTCTGCTTATGTGGTGCTGAGGGATTGAACCCAGGGCCTCATGCATGTGAGGTAAGCACTCTACCACTGAGCTACCTCCCCAGCTCTAAGGCTCAATCTCTTTGCTCTGTGTTGCTGAGAGAGGGAAGTAAGGTAGGAAACTCGAATTTTTAGAAAATACCACTTCCTTCACTGGGATTTCAGCTTGGAAATGTATGTCACAATGTCCTTCTCTTTTTCTTTGTTTGCTGTACTCTATCTATCTATCTATCTTCTATCTGTCCATCAAATCTTTTATTTACAATTGTGTGTGGAGAAGAAATGCAGGGGGAAAGTGGACAGATTCTGGGGCCAGGGGATGAGCACCAGGCCCAAGCCCAGAGTCTGCGCTGGGGCTCAGGGAGGAGCCTGTGGAGCACTGCTCACACAGAGGCCCATGGGGTAACACAGACAGGTGCGTCCTTGGGACCCCTCGGGGGCTGCAGAAGCCTTCCTCTAGTTACAGGCCCAACGAATAGACCTTTGCTATCCTTCCACCGCAGAACTCAAGCTGGTAAAACAAATTTCCTACAAATGAAACATGCAAAACAGACCAGGCAGGGAAACAGAACAGGTCTTCATTTGCATGAGAGCAAACGGGAGCTCTGCATCACTGATCTTGCACCCTCACCAAGCACGAAAGCTTTCTGCCCAAAGTATCTGAGCTCAGACTCCATAGAGAAAGTTAAGAGAAATAAAAGCTTCCTGAGGTGCCAGGTGCCGGTGGCTCACGCCTGTAATCCTAGCTATTCAAGAGGCTGAGATCTGAGGATCATGGTTCAAAGCCAGCCCAGGCAGGGAAGTCCGAGAGACTCTTATTTCCAATAAACCACTAGAAAACTGGAAGTGGCGCTGTGGCTCAAGCAGTAGAGCACTCACCTTGAGCTGAAGAGTGCAGGGACAGTGCCCAGAGTTCAAGCTCCATGACCAGAAAAAAACAAAAAACAAAAAACAACCCCCCCCAACTTCCTGAAGATTAATTAGCAAACCTTGAAATCCCTGACTTGACATCAGCCCGACAGCTGCAGAAGGAAGAGAAGGAGGAGAAGGATGTGCACGGTTCGTGCCCATGGAGATTTTAACAAACACGGGACATGGCTTGTGGAACACCTTTGCCGTCATATTCCTTGTACAGTTTCCACTGGGGAATCTGAGCAATGGGTTCACCGTTGTGATCAACTGCGTTGACTGGGTCAGGAAAGGCATGTTTTCTGCAGTTGACAAAATTCTTGTTGTCTTGGCCATGTCCAGGCTCAGTGTGGTCACTAATATCACTGAGATGGCTCAGACCTGCCCACCATCCCTTTTCATTCACAGCTGGAACGGGCTTGAGAACTCACAGGTGTGGCATGGTGGTTTCCAGTCACCCACTCCCGACCTGCTTTCTCTTGCTCATCTTCTCCCTGTGGAGACATCTGAAGAGCACATGGCTCCTCATTCCACTGGATGCAGAGACCCCAGCACCACAGCCTTGAGAAGTATGATCGCCTTCCTCCTACTCCACGCGGCCTACTTCCCACACCTTATGTCTGACGCTGAGCCTCCTCTCTCCTTCCAGTTACTCCTTCTTCCTGATACTGGGACGTCCCAGGAGAAGGCTTTCTTTGGGGGCTGAGGTGGCTAAGGGGTGGATAAAACACAGAGCAACCACACTTCGTTGGGGCCTTCAAACCATGCATGCTTAGTGCTGGGTGAGTAATTCCGTGGTGGATGGAATGTGCCTTAATTTTGATTATTTTATATTTTATTTATTATTCATATTTTATTTTATTTATATTATATTTTATTTATTATTTATATTACATATTTGATTATTTGATTATTATTATCCCCCTCAAAAAAAGAGAGAAGGAGAAACAGATACTTTTGAATGTTCCAAATAAAATAAGAATTTATGAGAAGTTTAAAAGTTTTTTATTCTTCCCCTCCCGTTTTTCTTGCCAATTAGTTTATTTAATTTTTTCCCAATGAATATTTATAATAGTTATCTAAGAATATTGCATATTTACAATGTGCATTTTTGTATTATTGCTAATTTTAGGTTGTATGTTTAACTAGATGACCCATTTCAAGTGAAGTTCTAGTTTTAGTGTAAGGTTAAGACTAAGACTATTTTTTTAAAAACAAATTTTTTTACCAGTAATATTTCTTTAAAATAATCTTTTCACACTGTTTCAACTTGGTGCATTTATCTTGCATTGTTGTTTGACTTTCTTGCACAAGGCTGGTGCTCTACCACTTGAGCCACAGCTCCAGTTCTGCCTTTTTGTTGGTTAACTGGTGATAAGAGTCTCTTAGAGTTGTTTTTCCAGGCTTTGAACTGTGATCCTCAGATCGCAGCCTCCTAAGTAGCTAGATTTACAGGTATGACCCACTGGTGCCTGGCACAACTTGGCACCCTTTAAAAATCAGTCATTTGGGATGTCTATTTCTATACTATGATTCTGTATATTTATTTGTACGGCTAATTCACATCCATAGAACAGTCTTTTATACTGACAAGATCTCGCAGTATGGTTCAGTTCAGGCCGGCCTGCATCCCAGACCCTCCTGACACAACTTCTTGGTGCTGTTGAAATGGAAGGAGTGGCCTCTCCTCCCCCATCCCCCATGGAACTGCCTCCCCCTGCCCCGGCTCTTTCTCTCCCCCCTACCTCCCCAAAACACTCCCCTGATTTGATTTCTTTGGTTTAACTTCCTCTTAAAATGGATTAAAAGTATGTCCTCAAAAAATGGTTCCAACTTCCAAGATGCGTCTCATTTTTCCAGTTCCTTTGAGTTTGCATGTACGTTTTAGGTTTAGCCTGTTGATTTTCTTGGTAAAGGGCTTAGGCCATTGCTTGGGACCATGCTGGGTGTAGATGGGTTTGTTGTCCTTGGCATTTCAATGGCAGTGACTCGTGCGGCCCATGAGCATGACAAACTTTTCACTCACTGGACCCAGCACAGTTTCACCTGTATAGTTTTCAGGCATAGTTTGTAAAAATCGGGTTCTAAGTTTCTCGTATTTCTTCTGATGGCCAAGGATGTCTGTGGACTATTGTTTTCTATAGTATACAAATACTGTGTAGGACTCTGTAAGTTGCCTGTGTGCTGTGAACTTGTAAACATCTCTTCTTATTTTTAGGTCTACCTTTTGGAGATCTGGGGTTTTTCTGTGTTGAGAACCATATTTCCTGGAGAAAAAGGAATTTTGCCTTCTTTTTGCCATCTATACAACTTTGGATTTTCTTGTATTGTTTCATTACAAAGCTGCGTATAAGGCATTAGTGCATGCCTTTCTGCTTTGTTCAGTCTTAGGGTAAAACGTCCAGTTGTTTTTTACTTTTTTTTTTTTTTTGCCAGTCCTGGGGCTTGAACTCAGGGCCTGGGCACTGTCCCTGGGCTTCTTTTGCTCAAGGCTAGCACTCTACCACGTGAGCCACAGAACCACTTCTGGCTTTTTCTGTGTATGTGGTACTGAGGAATCAAACCCAGGGCTTCATGCATGCTAGGTGAGCGCTCTTCCCAGCCCAAATATCCAGTTTTAATCATTCTCAGAATACTATTTGTGAATTGATCCATTTAAGGTTTCTACTTATTCCTAGCTTTACTGAGAGTTAAAAAAAAAACCCAAACATTTCTATAGCTATGTACTACTTGTCCAAGGGGTTTAACTGTGATGTTTCTATACATTCTTAAAATATACTGTGATCAGATTCACTCATTCCATTTCCTTCCCTCAGCCCCTGTTCCCAAAAACAACTGTAGCAGGTTTGATTGTTCTCTCTCTCTCTCTCTCTCTCTCTCACACACACACCACTCTAAATAGTGTGTGTGGTTGAGGTTGTGGCTGGTAATGAAGACACGTGTGGATCCCATTTGATGATTTATCGTCCTATGGGTACCCAAGGGTCTCAGCCCCAGAATGATGCACAGATCAAAAGAATCAACACCACAGAACGAATAGATTGTAATAGATTGTAAGGAAGTGGGAAGACTGGAAAACTGTAAGAGAAATAGTATCGCAGTTGTCCATGATTGCAAATGGGGATTCAAATTCCAATGCAAAACTCTTCATGTAAACTATGACCAGGGCTCATAGCAGAAGGTAACAGACACCTGCCTTGAAAAAAAAAAAAAAAACGTCGCAGGTGTCCTAAGAAAAGCAGACGAGGCTCTGTGGTTTAACTGAGACCTTGTTTGGGGGAAATATCTTCAGGGCCTTCCTGACTGTAACCGAGGCCATCAGGAAAAGAGGAAGGAGACATTGTTTGGACACTCTGGTGTTGTTGCGCCTGACAGCACTACTGCTGTGAACAGAAGGAGGGTCCTGTCTGAGAGTGGCCATGTCTTGCCTGCTGAAGGCTCTGCCAGCGGTGGTTTCTGTTGTGGAATTCACACTGGGGTTGTTCGGAAACGGATTCATTGTGCTGACCAACGGCATTGCCTGGATCAGGACCAGAAAGCTCTCCCTGATTGACATGATCCTCACTGGCCTGGCGGTTTCTCAGGTTTGCTTTCTGTGTGTAACCATGTCAGCCGCCCCTCTCCATATACCTCACGAAAGCATGTTTCGCTCCAAGAGTCTAGTGGTGAGTTTTGACATCCTGTGGACGGGGTCCAACTACCTCTGGTTGGCCTGTAACACCTGCCTCAGCGTCTTCTACTTCTTCAGGATAGCAAGCTTCTCCAGCCCCGCCTTCCTCTGGGTGAGGTGGAGAATCCGCAGCCTGCTTCGAGTGATCTTCCTGGCGGCCGTGATCTCTTACTTTGTGTTTCTCATTTTTGTTGAGAGATTAGGTAATAACTTGACCCAAGGATGGGCACAGATGGAAAAAAACACGACATTCAGTGTTACGGAAAACATAAGCAACTTCATAATCCATCATATTCTCTTTAACGTGACACTTGTTTTCTTTTTTCTGGTGTCACTGGTCTCTTTATTGCTTTTAATCCTGTCCTTGTGGCGCCACAGTGGGCGGATGGAGGGACTGGGCCTCCGTCCCGGTGACCTGAGCACCAAGGCCCACGTGAAGGCCCTGAAAACCATGATTTCCTTCCTGGCCCTCTTTATCGTGCATTGTGTTGCCGAAGCGATGATCGTGGCTTGTTCTCTTTTTGACAGTGCTGTGACAAATAGTTTTGCCCGTGTTCTAATTTTTTTTAACCCCTCCGTGCATCCATTTCTTCTGATTTTATGGAACAGCAGATTGAAGCAGGCATTGTTATGCGTCGTGAAGATGCTGAGAGGGGAAATAACCACTCGTTTCTATAGACAATCCTGATTTGCCATATGAGGGGAAAACTGGAGGCAAAAGACCACTGGGATAGTTCATCTCTGAGTGTCTGGCACCCAGAGACTGGGGCAGAAGGCCCTCCCAGACCACACAGTGAGAACTTACACAGTCTTTAGTCTTTATCCAGTTTGGATTGTGATTATATAGAATATCCCAAAGCTGAAATCCGTAACTCAGTACAACATGTGCGTATGTGCATCCATGTATATGTATGAACAGGTTAGAATAATGTTGACCTGGTGACCACACAATCCTAGGGCTCAAATTGAAAATTGTAAAGAGAGCCTGATGATTAATCACAGCATTATTTCAGAATGGAAAAATAGAACTCAATTTGAAGTCAAATGTTACTGATTTTTAATGTTCAAATTTGAGCCCTTCTATATTTTCAGGGAAAACAGTATCAATTAACAATGGCTATCAAAAGGTGTCTGAATCAATAGCTGTCAACTCTCAAATCTGAATCTTCTGAGGAAAAATTAAATTGTAATTAGTTGGGTACTTGTATAATAATGGCAGGAATAAATATTGGAAGATGAGTTAAATTTCAGGAGAGGGCAATATTATATGTAGGATCTTCGTAAAAGTCACTAACAACAAAAAAGGAAAAAAAACTACAAAAGTAAGAGGAAATGGAATGTTTATAGGATTGTTTTTTTTTGTTTGTTTCCCTCTTAAACTTTCTTTTTTTTTTTGGTCAGTTGTGGGGCTTGAAGCTCTTCAGCTCAAGGTGAGCGCCCTACCACTTGAGCCACAGTGCCACTGCCGGCTTTTTTCTGCTTATGTGGTGCTGAGGAATCGGCCTCATGCTTGTGAGGCAAGCACTCTACCACTGAGCCACCTTCCCCGCCCAGGAAGTAGAATGTTTCATAAGAATAACAAAGCACAGACAATGACTCTGATTACAGAATTAGATGGAATGAAGAAAACTCACCTTCAAGAATATAGTCAGGTGAGGCTCTGGCTCTAATCATTAGCACTTAAAGAAAAAAATTAGGAAGTTTGTCAAAAAAGCACACGCCATAGAGAAAGAACTTGGTGTCCCAGGCTGAGATCGGTGGTCCCAGGCCCCCTCCGGCTTGGGGTGGTGGCAGGGAGAGGTTACAGGACAACAGAGCTGCCCACATCAACCAACTGTGTGCATTACAAACATAGAACTTCACAGTGAAAAAACACTCTCCGTAAAAATCAAAGAATTGCTATTAATGTATATCCTGTTAACATAATTAAATTGTACTGTAACAATGTAATGAAAATAACAGCAATGATGATCAGTGAGCATAGGAAGTAAATCACTCTGTCATTTAATTATAGGCTAAAGGAAACAAAATAACATTTGGTCATGTTGAGGTGAATCCCAGTCTAGACTTAAACAAAAATGAAAGCACGATGTTATCTAAATGAAAGCCTGAAAATTAACACCAGCAAATTTGTATCAGTGAAGGCATTTATTTGTTTATTTTTGCCAGTCCTGGTTCTTGAACTCAGGGCACCATCCTTAAATGTCTTTTGCTGTCAAGGCTGGTGCTCTACCACTTGAGCCACAGTGACACTTCCAGATTTTTCTGAGTAGGTTATTGGAAATGAGAGTCTCATGGACTTTCCTGCCCAGTCTGGCTTCAAACCACAATCCTCAGATCTCAGCCTCCTGAGTAGCTGGGATGACAGGCATGAGCCACAGGCACCCGGCTCTTTTAATATTTTTTTTTTTTTATTGTAAAGATACTATACAGAGGGTTACAGTTACAT